ACTCTATCAACTGATCTATCGAAATGTTTAATGAATAAATGAATTTAAATATAAAATAAAAATCATTCAATATTCTCGTCGACATTAAAGAATGAAATAATGGTAATAATAAATGGCACTATTGAGCATTGAAACATGAGTTTAACAATTTATAAATTGAATTTGCTGTAGCAACTCGCACGCCACGATTGGACATTAAAATGCAAAGATTTAGATAGCAGCAAAGAATCTATGTCATATTTCAATATCTCACTAATTTTTTTTTATATCTATTCTTTTCCTCGTTGTCAATTGTCAGTGCTTGTGACTACATGACACTATATAGTTACAACTACTATACATTTTAGTCATTATTATATTTTATAGTAACGGAATCAACACTCTCAACATGAGAAATAGCAACAAACAAAAAAATTGATCACACCATGCTTTTTGTAAATGTCGTGTCGCTTTATGGATATTTTCACGGCTCATTCAACAATTGTTATGACCTTGAATGGAATCTCAGAGTTTATAAATTATTTTTCACTCATGTTTTTATTTAATCTCTTAATCTCTTTGCAATGTCTACACATGGATTTATATATATTGAAAAAACATTTATAGTCTCCATGATTAATTACTTGAGAAAGAAGGGATAAAAACTTTATGGCTAGAGACTTTCGCCCGCGGGCCAAATTTGAGAACGAGAGTGGAACGAATTTATTAATCAAATTAAATCATAAAAGCCTCAAAAGCCAAAATACTAGTTGAAATATGATGCGGAAACCTTTTTGATTCGGTATAAAACTTTCAGCAGTAGGTATTGATTAGTTTACAGACATTTTTACAATCATTGATTAAATAAATAAAATTTTTATTAGGAGAATTATCTTTGTGGGCACTCAATTGAGAAGAAATCTTGCATTTCCCTCCATTCATGGATTGAGTTTCATTTGATTTTATTACTATTATGAGGCTGTAGAAAATTATTATTACTGAATCATTAATTGAAAATAAAGCTATATGGCTTCGAATATCGCGATAAAATTTGTTGTCGATGTGCAATAAAAAGTCATTTGACATTTACATTAAGTCGAATAAAATAATCTCATTCTAATCTCATTTCACAGTTAAAGTCCTATCGCAATTGAGATACAATTTTTTGTTTCACGTAAATTTCCATAAATATTGTCTGTTGACAGTTTTAATGTGATCATAAGAGATTACTAGTAAAGCGAGTACGAAACGAAAAATATTGCGTGAATTAAATCTTATTTTTGTTGCTAATTGATACAAATCGAATGTCTTAATTAAATTGCTCCATTCACGTATCTCACTAGATGAAAACCATTGACTCTTTTTTTTCTAAATTTATGTATCTTTTAAGCATCCATCGCACATGTGAGACCATGAATGAAGAAATTGCCTTTGCATAATCATTTACTTTAACTGATTGCTTCCACGATAACAGAATCTCTTCTTTTTGCAGCAATGAATTAGCATAATAAAATGCTAACCGGTTTTCAATTCAATTCTTCTTCCTCTCATGAAGTCACTCTCGTTTACTTTTTATTTTTTATTTCATGATCAATGCCAATCAATACCGGAAAGTCATGAGCAGTAAATTAGTGAATATAATACATCCTTAGACGATTACTCGCATGTCATGTTATACTAACATTAACATGCAGATTAAACTCATTCAGTTAGCTATGAACGATATCACAAGACCTCCAATCACACCACCAATCAATTGTCGTATTAAGTTTTCTTAAAATTAATTTTCTACCAAATATGAAATCTCATTTTACTGCATCTCATCTATCAAATTATGATAATAATAATAGTAATCCTTTATTTGAATGCATGAAAAATGTCGGAACAAAAATAAAGTTTTTTTGATATTAACCTCGTCGGTTTTAAATCAAATTTTATACTGAGATATGATTAGTGATATGACATGATTTAGACTTTGAAAATTTGAGTTTCGGTCAAAAAAAAATTTTTTTAAAAAAGACCAATTAAAAAAAAAAAAAAAAAAAAAAAAACAAAAAAAAAAAAAAAAAAAAAAAAAAAAAAAAAAAAAAAAAAAAAAAAAAAAAAAAAAATAATAATTATCAAATTATGAACAGAAAAAGCTTTATAATACAAAAAAAATGGTAAACCCACATAATTTTTGACATAAAACATGCATGTTGCTGTAAAGAAAAGAAATCAATAATATTCAAAAAAAAGATTTTGTTGCGATATTGCTTTTTGACAAATATGAAATATTGAAATTTATTGCTTTATGCTCTGCTTTACCGACACTTTAATCCAAAGCATCTATTGTGTAAATGCCTTTTAAAGAGATGAAAAGACTCTTTTATTCGATAATATTTTTCTTTCTTCTTCTTTATGTGGCGCGGTATCTGATTTCTTCATGCAGTAATTGATCAATTTCTTATGCATATACCTAACATCTAAGCCACTAATGTTACAGAAAATATTATTTTTAATAATAATTCAATGACCCAGTTAGGCAAAATTAATGCTTGCTAATTAAATGAGTAATAAAAATATTACTCGATTTAGCCATTTTTTTTTTTGTCAACTCCTGTCATGGTTAAATGTTCAGTTTTATGCTGCTAGTTTTATTTAATAAATTTTAAAAAATAATAATAGTAATACGCAGAACCCCGAGTAATCTATGAATGAAGGCAGGCTTTCGTAACAGTTTTTCAAATATGTGAACATTGTAGCTATAATTTATATCCAACCATACACGGAAAAACTTACAGGAATGATTAAGGGGCCGTTCACTTATGACGTCAAGGGCGGGGGGGGGGGTCAGCAAGATAAGAACAATAGAATCGTTAACATCGGACGTCATAAGTGAACGATCCCTAAGGACAAACTCTATTTTGCTTCGATTTTCAACTATTACAAAGAATACTTAAGCATTAGTTACGCGCATCTCGGGAGCACAACGAATCGATAAGCATAAAATAGCAATCAGTGTTGCAAATGTAGATGTCTACACTAGATGAAGAATGTAGATTCTTCAATAGTTTTTGTCTAGCTAAGAAACTTTCTTCATAAAGATCGATTCTACATGTAGAAAGAAAAAAACCATCTGCATGTAGATTGTGTCTACATGTAGAATCTGTCTACATGTAGATTCGATGTAGATGTCTATAATTCTACATTTTTTCCAGGTCTACATCAGAGAAGAATGTAGAATCGTAGACATCTACATTAAATCTACATGTAGACAGATTCTACATGTAGACACAATCTACATGTAGATGGTTTATTTCTTTCTACATGTAGAATCGATTTTATGAAGAAATTTCTGTCTCAGAATTTATCTGATCCAGACAAATAGCCAGAATGCAACACTGATAGCAATGTATGTATATAAATTAAAAAGATCTTGATTGAATAGACGCCGACAGCTAAATAATGTAATATTTACTTATGCTGTAAATTTTTGCATAAATGCAGGTAGCTCAAAAGTAACATTTGATGCAATCTATTTTTCTCTTGCATAGTCCTGCAATTTAATGCCTCGATCAGACGCCACTCAATTAAGAAAAGTTTCATTAATGCTGTATCTCATTACATTATTTGCATGTAATTGCAATGTTGTCGATATCTCAATTAATGATAATTATGTATATTCATGCGCATAAGTGTAAGTTGGTAGCCTTTAATTGCACAATTGTTCAGTAAAGTGTAAAACTTTAAATTAAACTTTCCTATAATCATCGTGATCATCTGGCATTTAAAATAAATCCATGCTGGCGTTGTTGTAAAGCTAGAAGCTAAACTGAACATTTTTCGCACCTTGCGTGTCAATAAAAAAAAATATATACAAGACATGAGGTATATTAAATTCTCATTTCCTATAATTACTAGCTGTTGAGATTGAAATCAAGTCAAATGTTGAACAATTTTTAGCTACAACGAGTAAGTATGACAGAAGCGGAAAAATGTCATAAAAACCGGAAATTTTTTGAGCATGATTCTATTTTTAAGATTGATGTCTTGTGTCTTGTGGGCCGAAATTAAAAGAAAAGAAAAATGCTGTTATTTCATAATAAGTCTCATGTCGGCTTAGAATAAAACTATTGAGGAATTAACACATTTTTTGAATCACAAACAGAAAGAGATAACGTCGGTGATGCTTTTCCCACATGAGTTATCGTCTTAAATGAAGAAATTTCAATGCAAGTTGAATGAAAAATACGAGACATAAAGTATGTTTAATCGTATTATTACAATTTATGCTAATTTGCTGCTGAGTTATGAAGACTTCCCATGATGCATCAATTTGAAGTCAAGCAATTAATTTTATGTCCAACACCTTATCGTTGTTTATCTATTAATATCGTCTGTGATTTAGAAATTTGATACTTTTCTACATTTTGTGTCATTCGTTAATGACGTCTTTCATTGAATTGAATATTGTATGTCGTGAGAACTTCATAGGTGGGCCTTTGACTTTTTAAAGGCAGCTAATGTGCATCAGGTTTTGAAAACTTGAAAAAACTAGTAGAAGCTTTGACAAACGTCACTTATGAACATCCTCTCTCTGTTCGTATCATTTTAACATCACAAATCACGTTGAATTTAAATCTGTGGCTAATATCGCTTGATTGAATCTCCAAATAACTAAAGCTATTGATTTTCTGTATTGAAATGCGACACTTGATTCAGTTTGAATCGATTAATTCGTTCTGTTCCATGAAATAAGCACCAAATTGAAAAAAAAAAGTTATTTTTAAAAACAGATTGTAAAGTGTCAATGCATTTAGGTAGTTTGTAGATACGAAAAATAAAGAGACACGTGTAAGACGATGAAACATGACAAAAATATGTACATACATCTAATGATGACAGTAAATAACAAGCCTTTAAAAATTCTCACAGAAAAAGAAAAAAATTCTTTTCTTCATTAACCACAATGGATGTAGCTGATTGTTTGTACATAACTATATATTTTTGGTATTTTTCTTTCTCTTATCTAATTATAGGCTCATGTCGTAAATGCCTTTGAGCAAAGTTTACAAAATATGACCAATCGACTTCAACAACTAACTGCAACGACTGAGAAGAAGGTACAAAAAATGCACTGTTGTGAAAATAATTTTTAAGTGCCTGCCGATGATTACTTCTTGTTATTATTGAATAAAAATTGTTATTTCATTTCTCAAGTTTCTTGGCAAGTTATCAAAACCTTCCTTTTGTTATCAAGCATCGTCTGGTTTTGTGTTTTCCTTCATGTTACTTATTTTGTTGTTCTCAAAATCACTTGAACATTTCGCAAATATTAATCTTATTGTATTTCATTTATGACAGGAATCTGAAATAACAGAGATGCGTCAGACCATTGAATTGCTTCGAAAGCAATCCATTCAAGCAGGATTAACACAGGCACACATGCAGAGTATGGGAGTTCAAGTAAATGTTAATGGATCATCAGCCAAAATTATTAATGGTAGTCCTACCAAAATAAATGGACAACAAGAGCAACATCTGCATCATCAGCATCATCAACATCATCAACTACAGCCACAACAACAACAGCAGAATGGAAATATGCAGCGACAACATAGTACAGACTCGATGTGCTCTGTCAACTCAAATGGATCAAATGGTTCGTCATCTCAGGAAAAGAAGAAAAAGAAAGGATGGGTATGTCTGCATATTTTTATGTCTTGTCTATATTTTCTAAACTATTGTTCTATTTACATTTATTTTTTTATCTATATAGCTTCGAAGTTCCTTCACAAAAGCTTTCTCACGTAATGCCAAAATTACTAAGACAAATCGCCAAACAAATCATTCCGATTCGAAATCATCACTACCTCCCACACCACAAAAGAATTCATCGACAACAATACATGACTCGCATGGAGCCACTGGAAAGTTATCGCCCACAAAAAGTCCACATCGGTATATTCCGGTCGTGGAAAATGCCAAACCCGTAGATTCAATAGAAAATGATAATCATCCAGTAATCGAAGATTTAAAGAAGCAGCTTAGAGAGAAAGATATGGTATTAACTGACATTAGACTAGAAGCACTAACACAAGCATCACAAATGGAGAATCTTAAAGATACAGTCCAAAAAATGCGTCAGGAAATGATGAATTTGAAACAGAATAATGAACGTCTACAGAGGATGGTCTCAACACGTTCATTAGCTGGTTCTGAAGCTTCACTTCACGGATGTCCTGCAAGTCCAAGTGGTTCATTAGGAGATTCAAGGAGGTATAGTCTTGCGACAGATAATGGAATGTCTCGACCGCCATTAGAACTTCCTCAAAATCTCGATGAGAATGAAGAGGAACCGCCTGCACCAGCTCCTGATCCCCCACCTGCACCTTTATCACCGACAATAATTACAGATTTATCACCAACAATAGAAAGGATCTCAATCTCTAATGAAATATTATCTACACCTGCTGAAGATGTCGCTGATCCAGTAGATGGAAAGAGAATCGGAATTGCTGTTTTTCTAGGTCAACCAGAAGCATTTGTAAAATATTCTGACGACATGAATGAACAAGATCAAAGTTATGATTTTAAAACACGAGAAAATGGATTTGATTTGTTACATTCACAAGAGACCATAATCGCATGCACATACATCTCCGGAAAGACTACATGGCAAAATCTTGATTATATCGTCAGAAAAACATTCAAAGATTATTTGTCACGTATCGATCCGAGTACAAATTTGGGTCTTAATACAGATTCAATTACGTCGTATCATCTTGGAGAAGCAAAACGTGGACCAGAAATGGGATTTCCTGAATTATTACCATGTGGATATATAATTGGACATGTGAAAACCCTTTACATTTGCTTACAAGGTGTTGGAAGCTTAGCATTTGATAGTTTGATACCAAGATCGATTGTTCATCGATATATTAATCTTCTTACTGAGCATAGACGATTAATTTTATGTGGACCAAAGGGAACTGGAAAGAGTTATTTAGCAAGAAAATTGGCTGAATTTTTAGTCGCAAAGTCAAATCGAAGTCCAGCAGAATCAATTGCCACATTTAAGTAAGTATTGATTGAGATACATTTAAGCCAATTTAAGTTAATCATTTCTTATTGTATGTCAATTCCTAATTTAGTGTCGATAACAAATCATCCAATCTCCAACAATATTTGGGCACAATTGCTGAACAAGCCACAATAAATGGTGCAGCTGAGGAGCTTCCATTAGTGATAATTCTAGATAATTTGCACCACGCGTCAGCATTAGGTGATGTTTTTTCCTGTCTTTTAAGTGCCGGACCAGCTGCAAAGCTTCCATGTATTATTGGAACAATGTCTCAAGCCACGTGCAATACAACAAACTTACAGCTGCACCATAATTTCAGATGGGTAAGTTACCTTATTCATATTTTTTTAAGTGATTAAATGGAAATAATCTAATTTGGAATTTAATGACAGGTATTAACTGCAAATCATATGGAACCAGTAAAAGGATTTCTTGGTCGTTACCTCCGTCGTAGATTGTTCCATCACGATTTGTTGACTGGATCGCAACAAACTCAAATGGAAAAAGTCTTCAAATGGCTCCCGGGTGTTTGGCTTCATGTAAACACATTTTTGGAGAATCATAGTTCTAGTGATGTAACGATTGGACCACAACTCTTCCTTCAATGTCCTCTCAGTGAGGAGGACTCACAGAAATGGTTTGTTGATTTATGGAATCATCAACTTGCACCATATCTAGTCGATGCCATAAAAGAAGGTGTACAGCTTTACGGTCGAAGGGGAAATTCATGGACAGATCCATGCCTTTATGTAAGAGAAACGTATCCCTGGAAAATAACACCCACAACAGTTCCAACATTAAGGCAAATTACAGCCGATGATGTTGGGTTAGAGGCAGGTGTTACAGGCAACATGGACTCAGATCCATTGCTTAATATGTTGCACATGCTTCAACAAGCAGCTGCAAGCGAAAATGTTGATCATGATAATTCCGATTGTGCAAGTCTAGATTCAAATTTTACTCATGAGTCGGCCGGTACTGAACAATAAATGAGAAATTAATTAAGTTTTACTTCTATTCATTGTGAAAAAGAAGCAGAAACTCGTGATGAATAAGAAAACATAAATAAAACGCATACAATTTATGTAGTTGATGATTAAAGGCAGAAAGGAAATTTTTACAAGAGGCAACAACAACAAAAATGAAAATGAAAACACAATTTTCGAACTGATAAATTTAATTAACATAATAAACAGTTTTTATTTCACTTTTTTCATAATGGCTTAACATTTACAATGATGCATAAGTATTTATTATATATTTTTTTCGGTAAAAAGAAGAAAATAAAAACGCAACATTTGCATAACTTTTTTGGAGCTGAGCATGTGCTCAAAATAATATTTATGATATTTACATGCATTTTTGGATAAAATAAACTTTTTTATAATCAAAAGAAAAAAAGATGAAGTTAAAAACTAATGTCATTATGTATCTCTTTCTGCTTCTTTTCTGGTCATGTTATTAATGTTTAATTCCTTAGTTGCGCTACATATACTTTAACTTATCTATTTAATACATATATTAATATAACTCTACACACATATGGTGCATAATAAATATATTTAAGTATGATATTATTATACGAAAAATAAAAAAGCTTCTTACAATTTTAATTAGCTGACTAATTTCCATTCTTGTTTGTTGAATAGTTTTTCATTTCATAATTCGATTAATGTTGTAAATATTTTAAAGAAAAAATAAAAAAAAATTTAATTTGTTATCAAACATTCAATATGAAATTAATTAAAGATCTTCTTTCTTTTTGAATTCAATCTTATTTCAGATCATGTATTTTGTAATTTAATTTTTCCAGGATTAATTAAATTAATTTTCATAATTTGTATTTCGGATCCATACCTATGATTCTTAAAATCAAACGTGGTTAATGCAGTGTTTCTCAAACTTTTATGGTCCTATGCACATTTTACTACATAAAATATGTCACGGCACACCTGAAATGTTTTCATGGCACACCAGAGTACCGCGGCACAGAGTTTAAGTTCTAACGCCATTCTGATTTTTCTAATTGAATATTAAAACATTAAATCTCATAAAGTGTTTCAGAAACTGGATTTTAAGCATTAAATAATAAGTAAACGGCAACTGATTAATCTTATACAGAATCAAAGGGATCTTAAGGATTTGTTGTTTAATCTTTCACATCTCTAGAACTTATTCTGAGATTTAGAATAATAGATTTCTGTATTAAGAGGATCCAATAGACGAGTTAAAAAACTACATGCTGTGTTATGCTTGAAGTAAAAGAACTACCAAAATTTTTTACACTTTTTAAATCTAATCCAAAGTTTAAATTTAATGTTAATAGAAATCAACCCTTTAAGAGGAACTCTTCCGTCACTGTTTTTGAAGTTTTAAGAATGATGAACCTCAATTTAAATGGAAAATTTTCATTAATCCAAAAAAAATTGTAGTGAAAATTTTGTAATGAGTTAAAATTTGAACTAATCGCGTAACCAGGGAGTGAATTAGGTTACAAATTGTACTTCCTTTGCTCAAAAATTTCCCAATTTGCTAGAGTTTTTGGGACAAAAATTCATAAAAATTCTGACACGATAAAATTTAAAAATGCCATTAAACAAAATTTCTGATCACGCTCTGTTTTGAGTTAACTCACTGAATCGAACCTTTTCGCTAATTAAAATCAAGTATTTTTCATTCAATTATCCCCACTGGCTACATCACTGTACCACATAAAATTTATTCAATTGATAATATTTATGAATATTTCAGCGATTAAAGTTCAAAATAGAAAAGTATTTCTTATCTTATGATGTCTTTTTAATTAAGCATTAACAAAATGCCACATACTGACCTTAGTATTAAAATGTTATTCTACATGATAGATACTTTTAAATGTTATGCAGGAATTGCATCAATTTCACTCTTTGCGAAGACTTTTGTAATTTTTTTGTAATCAATTTCTTTAATTTTTCGAATCAAATATCGACTTTCAGGATAGACGATTAAAACTGCGATAGGAGCAACGGCACTTCTAAAGTATCCAATTACGTAGAAAAATAATTGCAAGACTATCAAATCTAGACTATGAGTCTTTTTGTCAAACATGTACTGAGCTCTAATGGCATAGAATGGAATCCAAAAAAGAAGGAACAATATGGACTGTACATAGATCAATTTCCTTAATCGTCCATCAATATCTTCAGTATCAACAGAATTATTATTGATTTCTATCGTTAAATTATTGTAAACTGCTTCTGGTCGTCTCAAATTAATAGCATCAGATGCTTTCTTAATCGACTCTATTATAAATATTCCAAACATCTGCATAAGGACTATTATCATAAGCGTTAAATTACAGTACACAGTAGTTGATAAAATATCATCTTCAACTGCACAAATTGATCCATAAGTCCCAAAGACTTTATGATAAATCAAATGCACTCCACCAATGAGAAACCACATCATAAAAATTATCACAAATGAAGTCTCGGGTGATAAGAGCTTCTCAATCCGTACTTTTTTAATTGATGAAAATATCATATAAAATAATAATGTAACCAGAGTCATTAATACCATTGTAGGTGCTGCGGTCATTAACGTTGTCATAAAATAGCAATGCGTATCATTGATTTGCTGACCTTCAAAATACTGACAAAAAAAATTTGTTGATAAGAGTGAGAGTTATAAAGGAATTGGACATAACTTACATCTTCGATCACAAAACTAGATTTCAAGAACGCTCCAATCAGGAAGTCAAGAATACAAATATTAATGATAAAGGAATCAAACGCACTTCTCGTCTTTTTGTTACTTAACAGGCTTACAATCACGAATAAATTTCCTAAAAAAAAGTTATTACTCGTAAGTAAATCTCGTAAGTAGTAAAGAATATTTTAAACTAGATCACCAATAACTGATAATAGAACCAGAACTATAAGGTAAGAAAACAGCGACATGCTGAACGTCTGAATGAAACGAAAGTCTTATAAAAACTATTCAACAAATAAACAAAAAGAGAGAGAAAAACATGTTTATCAACACCAAAATATACAAATCCGATCACATTGAATATGCTCATTTCCTCAATCTTATCAATTTCTGCGTCGTACAAAGAAATTTTAGTCGAGAGAATTCGCGAATTCTTTATTGTGAGCAATTAAAAGAGAGAAAATTTCATTTCTTTATGTCAATTAAAATTTCATTGGAAATTAATTAATAATCAGTTTCGTTGTAAGTTTGTAAAATTTCTAAAACGGCACGTGCTTACAGAATCAACGGTTGCTTGGAAAGGAATCAGAGAGTTCAAAAAATGTTCTCTCATTCTTTTTTCTGAGCGAGTAAATCATCGGATTTAACTATTAAATCTGATTCCATAGCTTAAAGTTTAAATTTTCTAAAGCTATGAATTAAAAATACAAATTTAAAGCAAATTATTTAAAGATTTATTCAATTATTTTAAAAATTGATTAAATGTTAAGGACTAAACCCTTGCCTTATCGTTAATTCAGGCATGATTCCTTTAGAAATTTCAATTCATACTAAGCAACTGCATCCCACAGTTTTTGAAAAAGAGCAACAAATGACAGTTCCAGGCAAAAAACACCAAACAATAATAGAACGTAAATAAGTTCCTAAATGACTATAATAGAATCAAAGATTAACTTAGCAAAATCAATTCTTTGACAAAAAAATCAATTGAAAAATTCTCAGAAAAATTTAAATGAAACAATTATTAAGAAGTATGCTGGAATGTTTTGATGTTATAGTCATCAAAACCAGTATAATGATTAAATCTTTAGTACATACGATGTTGATGAAAAAAGTACCAAAGAACTAGCCACGGATTAGTTGTTTGTGAAGAAAACTTCAGTAAAAACTCAAAGTAAATCGCAAAAAAGTTGATTTAAATTACAAAAGATACCTTTGCAGATTTAAAATTATCATAAGAAGTAATACTAATGATAAGAAAGACGTGTTGGATTACAAGTTCAAGTTTAAAAGAATATATTCGAGTGATGATGAGAAAATTCAAAATGATGTTTTGAAAAGCTTGACAAAAAATTTTAAAAAGCATTTAAACAAAATTTAAAAGATCAAAAAGCAAATAATTTGAGATTGAAATTGTTAATAAAAGTCAGTGAAATTGAGTGGATACGGGAAAAAATCAGTTCGAAAGGCAAAAAAAGTAAACTAGTTTCTGCCTGTCAATCGTGTTTATTTTCAAATTGTGAAATTCACGCTGTTCCAAAGAATGATTTGAGAATCGGCATGGAATCAACATCAGAAGTTACAGAACTAGGAACGGGCTGGATAGAATTTTCAGAGCGTCATGCAAGAGCTGCAAGCAGTGATTTTGCGAGATCTGTTGTTCAATATTTCAATAATTCGATACAGCCAGAAGCAAGATCACAGGTTTCGCATAAAGAATTGCTGAAAAAATTTATTGACTGCTTTTCGGAGAATTTTGAATATGAATATTTGCGACGTAGTGTACAGCAAGGAAATAAGGTAAGCAAATAATAATATAAAGTCCAAAAAAATAATGAAAACAACAAAAGATGAGAACAGCAATGAAAAGAAAAAAATGTTAAGAAGAAAATATGGGAGTGACATTTTCTCGCTGTCGAATATTTTGGAATCAATTTTTCTCCATGAAAAAAATTAAAATTTTCATCAATCTATAAAATTAAATTCCGGACGAAAAAGTGATTTAACATTGAAAATGTTATCATAGGATTTGTACAGGCATTTAATTGAATGATGTAGCTGCTATGTTTTTTTACTACGCTTTAATTTCATTGATAAAATGTACACACAAAAGATGTGTGTCTATACGATGATTGCACCTATACAATCACACCGGCGTTACAAATCATGCTATTTCGCTTGCGCCTACATACTTATATAGAGAGAGGCGCTAAGAACAGTCCACATTGAAAGGCGCGTTGATTAAAAGGCAATAAATGAAGAGTAAGGAATTAAAATTCAATCAAGATTATGATGAGGACTTATCAATTGCATGCATCATAAATTTTATTAAAAATTGAGAATAACAGTAATAATGTCAAATGCTACTTATTGTACAGATACTTCCGATTCATTGACAAGTTCATTATAACAATTTGCTAGGCATTAAAATGATCGTTTATTGTGGTATAATTTTTTTATGTAACCATTTATTTGATGTTTACCATTTCAAATGGATGTTCACACATTTCGCAACTGCCATTTAGCTAATAATAAATATGTAACTTTGTGGTATGTCGATAAGAATGAAAATGTTTGCACAAACTTTGTAAATGTATACCACAGACATTTATTTTTGCTATCGCTACCGGCATTCTAATGCTAAAAATAGAAGCACAAAAGAAAGTCATTAAAAAATCAGGTGATGGCAATCAATTTGTCAAGGAATGCAAAGCGATATGGAAATTTACGAACTTTTGAGGCTTTAATTCGCTGCGTCTAAAATGACTCGCTACAGGTGTTTGACGAGGAACCTATTAAATTCTTATTTATTTGAGGAAAATGATAATTACGAACACATTTATGGCTGCAAAATGAGCGTATAATTTTTAACGCAAACACCTAAATTGAGTTATTGTTAACTTGAACTTCCCTCTATTTATTCGAATTTTTCTCAACAACTTTCTTTGGGATTCGTTCATAAGTGATGTCTGTCTTTAATAGTATGTTCGTAGTAGAATTGATCTTAGTAACCCTAGCAGAAATTTACTAGTAATTTACTAGATAACTTTCCATTTGCTACTTGCTATTTACTAAAGACCCGCAATTTCACTTGCTAATTGACTAGTCAATTCGCTTACAATTTAACTAGTAATTTACTAGCAAATTTTTAAAAAATTTAAATGAATATAACCGTTGATTTCCATGTGTTCTTTTGATTTTTCTTATTTGTGTAAATTATTGTAAAAGTATTAGAGTGCACTTAGTTAAAGTACACTAACACTATGAAAAAATAAAAGACTTAATTTAATTAAGTGAAGTATATGGCTCTTGTGAAGTATATGGCAAATGCCAAATTTAGAACAAAATTTTTTATGACGCAAAAAATTCTTTTTTTGATGATTTTTCGTAGGATTCGAACTTAAGCAGATTTGATCAAACATTTCACATGGTAATTCACTAGTAAAGTGCAAGTAGTAAAATAGAAAGACTAGCAATTTACTAGTGAGTCTCGCTAGGTATAATAAGGATGACAATCGAGCTAAATGTAAAGTTTATAGAATTTCAATATTGGTATTTATCCTCAACCTTCAATTGGTATATAGCAATCAGTGAGACTGACGAGGAATCAAAAAATCCAATTTTTTATCGACATCATTTACAAACATCATTACTCATTATACTTCTCACTTTCTACCAATAATCAGCCAATACACGATTATTGAAAAAGTAATGGAATATCAGTTTCCCATTCATTGATTTGAGCTCATAATACTTACCAATGATGAAATTTCATATTTCTTGTGCAAATATTCAGGTCATTGCGAAGGCTTATTAACAGTTATATTGGATCTTATTTTAGTTTAGTGTTATTATTATTATCGCGATTTATTTGTCTATGATTACTAGCTACTATAAGAATGAGGAAATCATATACATAGTTGTAGTCGTTAAACTTCTTTCCATGACATTCAATTTCGGAGATGAAAAAATTTCATTTTCATCACAAATGTTTCTAATAAACAGTAATCCTTTGTATCAGTTAAAACCATCTTCTATATTACTATAATGAATTCATCCATTAAAAATTATGACTCTCGATTCTCTTCTTCAGTCAATTCTTTCGACATATTTCCAACATTTTTTTTTTTTGAAAATTGAGCCTAGCAGAAAATGCTGATTGAATATGGCGAAGGCGCATTTTTAGCTTGATGTATTACGACAAGAACTAGAATTTATATGAATTAGGAGTTTGAAGACTAGATCAGAGAATCGTAGCTCATGTTTATTGAATTTTCAGTCATTTTTGTACCACCCACGAGCTCCATCCAACTTCTTCCTCTAAAATGGCTCTAGTAACAAAGCTTAAAAATCCTGTGCCACAGCCACAGCATAATAAACGTTCAAAGTTCAGTAAATGTGCTAAAATTCAAGAGATTCTTGTATATTTCAGAATACAAAAGATTCTTTAGACAAAAAAAAGGTAAATTCATAAATTTTTGATTATGGATGCTTAAAATATTTTTTTATACACAAAACAAAAGCCAACAAAAAAAAAAATAAAATAATAAAGGAAAAGTAAATTCGTGAATTTGCAACACTTTGAGATTTGCGATGATGAAATGAATTTAATAAAATAATAAACAGAAGGATTAACAATGTCTGTATATTATTTGAACGTGTTTATTATTTTACATGAGAGCCTCAAGTCGTTTCATAATACTGTAAAAATAATTCTCAATTTGCAACAATGTTGCTTCCTTTGATCCGATAACATTGATTGCGACACACTTTAACTTGCATTGCTTGAATATCTGAAGTGTGTTGATAATTCTTTTCTGTTATTTGATATCCTTTAAAAGTATTGCTCAATATTTTCGTGAAAAAATAAGCATACAGTATCTTTAATGTCATGTAGTCCATTAGAAAAAGAAGCGATGTGTAATAAAAAACTATTGTGACACAATATGTGTTCCTTAATTTGATCATCACTAAAGTATCATCATGTTAATTAAGTCCTGTTGTCTCCTTAATTAAGACATAAGAATACAGTCAATAGATAAGACTAGACTTGTTGGTAGGCATTCTAATAATGTCAATTACAGTCCACAAAATTAATTTCATTTAATGAGAAATAATCGCGATAAGAAGACACGCTAATTTTATTTTCACCCCAAACGATCATAAACTCTTTTTGTTCCGTTCACTTAAACGAGTTTAAGTTTTCATTTAACTGAAATTCAGTAAAATCCCAAAAGGGCTTGCGGTTGTTATCAAAAAGAGGCTTTCATATCCATTCACAATTTTTCGTTACACGGTGCTACAAACTTTTATCTGTACATTTTATGTGAAAATAAACATTGCTTAAAACCTACATTTTGACATGTGAAGGTTATGCAGTGAAAGAACCTGAAGCGCATAAAATGGTTCGAGGTTTTCTTCTATCTTGGTTCCTATTAATAGACTCATCTCAATACTCAAACATGTTGAATCAAAATGTTTCACACACCTCCAGACTCTATGTCCTAAAATTATATTAAATCATGGCAAACAAACCATATGCTTTATCACAAAGACAAAGTGACTGCTCAACTTCCAACACAGTGTATCCAAAAATATTTGTCCTTGTGTTATATCGCTAAATTATAGTCACAGTCTCAAGTAGACCTGATTATTTTTTAAATTTTATCAATGAATTATGCTATGTTGTTATTATTAGCAGCAAGTCAATTAGTATTCGTTGATTAAACGACTGTACAATAATGTAGAAAGGCACAATTATGGCGCTTAGGCAAAAAAGGACAATAGAGTAATATTCATTACAAAATTATATAAACGTTATAAAGAGTAATTTTTCAGGCGACGACATCTTGATTAAGTGATTTTTGATGTTACATGACAGCATTAAGTACCGATAATGAAAATTCCTTCCTCCCCATTTCGTGTAACTCTGTTACTGTTTCATGGATGCTAAGCGATGTCGTGACAAACAACATCCAACCCCCACACACTCTGAATTTATTTATTTTTTTTTTTGATGCTGTAAAGCAAGAACTGGATTGTAGCGGTGATAACCTTTATTGATGCTCTTTCTCTCTCACTTGCTGTATCGTGTCAACAGAGCATCTTTTCGTCTTCAACTTATTTATTTCTTATTCTGCATATTACAATAAAGCATTTGTCACTCATCTTCCTTCTCCCTTTATCCTCTCAATGCTGTTGCTTCTTTCTTTTAAAAATGGATGGAAAATTACAGAACTTCTTCATACTCCTGAATGTATTTATATTATTATTATTATGAAATTTATTTTAAAGTTAAAAAATAGACCTCATAATTAAGATGAGACGTACATAAATTAATACTAACAAGTATGCCACCAAGAGAGCAAAAGAGAGTAAATGAGATAGTCCTACGCGAGAAAAAAATAAGTTGCATGGAAACCAAACATCATCATCTTGCTATTACTTGTGATGACTCTCATCTCAATTAATTGAACTAATGAATTAGAAATAACCAAAATAAAGAGCAATGCTGTATTATCTGTAGATATTCGTAGGAAAACACAATAATCTTATTTTTTTATAGCTTTTTAGATAATAAAATGCCGGCAAACATGAATTATAGAAAGGCAGGTGCCATAAGCGCATTTTTAAGGATTAAATCTATTTTGGATTGATTTAAATCATAATTTCAAATTGCCAATGATTCTTAATCTGAAAGCCGCGACTCATTAGTGTGCCTTTAAAGCTCCATTGCCATTACAGTTCTACATTCAACCAAATCTGCTTTAATGACTGCATTGTTTTGAACTTAAATGAATTTCTAAAGTTTTCGATCCTAAATGCTTTTGGATTGCCAAAATTCCAAAGAATTGAACAGAACGGAAGCAATAAATGACTTAATATCATCACAAAACTCCATTTCTTTATTAAGTCAGTCAATGGCAATAAACCAATTCTATAAAATTCTGTTCTAAGCTGAAAAAAAATGCTAAAGAATATTTCACGATTTACATATTCTTCACTGATTCGATTAAAAAGAATTAGAGACATCCGCAAATCTTATGAGGAATAGCAAGACAGAAAATCAATGAAATTAATATTTTGAAATTGTATTAAAATGTTTGTTGTGCATTATGGATGTTTTTTTTTTTGGTACAGATCCATCAAAAATATTTTTGAATTGATTCTCATTGAAAAATCCCATAAAATTCTTCTGGTGATCAACTTAGGAATGAGAAAAGATAAGCAGTCATTTATAAACCATGGGAATCAATAACTTGTGATGTCCCACATTTATTAGAAGCGAAACGGAATTGGACATATCGTTGATATGGAATTAGATGATCTTCAGACCAAATGAGATTCTCAACTTATAGTCAAACGTATGGAACTGATAAATCACATCTTGATAATTAATAATCATTTTGATCAGTTTCATACCATTGCTCGATCGGTTATTAAAGCATTTGGAGACATAAAGCTAGTATCAGAGCTTAATAGAATCTCAAATATTCATGAAGCTATAAAAAAATCTGTCAGTTTGAAATTCCCTGTTATCACAGATTTACATATCTCCATTATTCGATGAACATCATTTACGTACGACCCAATATATAATAACTCCAAAATAATGGAAATCTTTGATCATCACAAATATTTGGTCTCTATTTTACCGTGTTCTTTAATGAATTCAAAAAATAGAGTTAAATAATATAATAAAATAAAATCAAGAGACATTTCATCAATGGCATGACTAGTGAGTAAGAAAGAGAGATGAAGCAGATACGACAGCAAGCCTAAAAGTTATAGTTCTTCTTTTTAAATAGAAAAAAAAATGTATAAGAATCACAGACAGACTATTTTTTTGTTTTTAAAATGCAAATAGCAGACACTCCATCTCAATATAATGTTTTGTATATCGAGAGTTTCTCACACGCAAAATTATTCTCTGGGCTTGAAATATCAAGTCAGTATGTGTACATAGAGATAAAAGCAGCAGAAAATTTTCTGTTTTACAACAAAAAAAGAGCGAAATATCGCGTACAATGAATAAAAAAAATATGTCTTGACTCTGCAATATAGTTCGGCATTTCTCGCTCATGTGTATGTTTTTTTTTTCCTTCCTTCCTTGAGTGAGTCTCAGTCTTACTCGGCAAGCGTGTTTTGAAAGACGTGAGAAAAAAAAATTAAGCCGGCATTTAAAATAGAATTAAATGAATTTACTTGCAAAAGATAAAGAATTTTCTTTATCAACGAAACGAGAGGCACCAATGAGAAGGAACTTTATGTCAGATTGTTGTGCAAGTGAATTTAAAGTTCATTCGCCATATAATCATTTTCAATATACATCAATCTACATAGAAATGATTTAAATAAAAATAAAATAAAAAACATAATGAGATCAAGCAAGTGAGAAAGAAAAAGAAGCAAGAGTAAACGAATGAGAGAATAAAAATCTTTGCGGATATTGCACGAAAAAAAAAATCTTAATTAATTGTTGAATCTTCAAATCCAGATTAAAATTAAAAATTAGTGTTATTTATTATCGCGTGGCAATTGTATCTGAATTCGTGCATATATGTGTATTTATTGAATTGTGAATATCAAGGCAAAGACGAAAGAAGAAGAAAGAAGTGCAAACGCGGAATCGTTTTGATATTGCCAGTTCTTCATGTGATAAAAATAAAGTCTTACGAATTTGCTGCTCATCATTTTTATTATAAAAAAAAATGTGTGTTACTCAAAACACACGGAATCAACTAGATGGGTTGATGAAATATGCAACAAAGTTGTAGATGAGAATGTTGTGCCGGCTCGATTAGTGAAGTTAATATTAAACTGATATGACTGTGTTCATTTAAGTATATACACAAAAATATCATTGATAAGTGAGCGAATATATCACGACTGCCTTGTTCATACTATACGTAATAATTATCAAAAAAATTCTTTAGAAATTTTTAAAAAAAAAGTAAGAAGCAACTTACACAAACATTTTTATTATCAGTGAGCATTTAAAAGTGAAACAAAAAAGATTTAGAGAGAAAACATGAATGCTTGGAAGAAGTTTATAGATCTGCGGCTGAAAAATAACAATGTTGTTGTTGAAAAGGTGAATCATGAGTTTTTTAAGCCAAGTCCATTTGCCTCGAGAGTACAAAAAAAGTTGAAATTAATTCCTATTTATACTCGATAGCAATATAATTGATGATGGAATGAAAAATTTGAAATTCAAAATCGTAACGAATGCGTGGAACGAAACAGATTGGAGAGTAGATAAATATAAATGTGCAAATTCTGAAATTTATTTGCGATTTAAGACATGATTTATAAACGTATAATGTTGTTACTCTTTACATGTTCTGTTGTTTTCATTTTCATCACATTTTGTATATATAAATTTCGAGTACATTGGTGTCGTGTTAATTCCAATTCCTATTATCTCGTAACCAGATGAAAGCCATTTCACAATTAGAATGTGTACTTGACAATATGCTTTAAAAGTAGGTGGAATACTGTTTAAAAATTTAAACAGATTTCCAATAAACTGCCGGGCTCTTTTGACCTTTAAAAATGTACTGAATATTTTAATTCTGGTGCTAGGCAGTCGAGCTACTCGATGAATTTTAAGCAACTCAAATAAGTGTAGGCATTTTCCCCAAAAAAATGACCGATGAACAATGATTCGCTTCCATGTTTTACTGCTCTTCTTCTTATTTGGACTGCAACTTATTGCCAAATTTACTTATGATAAGCTTTTCGTTAGGTTACTTTTGGTGACATTTTTCGGAAACAATGTTGCAATCATGAAATTGTTAATGAACTTCTTATTTCTCAAAATGTATTTTGGTGCCAAAAAGCATGTGATAATATTCTGCTGATACTTGAGTTTTACTGCAACTTGTTGTCAATGAAGTTAAAGTACTGAGTGGGGGTCTATGGTTTGAATAACAGCAGTCTGCTTGCCAGAGTCATCCTTAGATGGAATAATCTTCATTAAAGGATCAACTTCACTTAAATTGAGTTTTTTTCTAACCGAGAACTCCTTTTGTAATTATAAACTTGCTTGACAACTCCCGGAATTTAAATTCACTTCCTAGAAATTAATGTTTTTGTACCGTAACGTTGACAATAAAGTTCAAAAAGGGTCTTTATGACAATTTAACCGTTGCCATTCACATCCTCTTTATTATGAACAAGAATTTGATTCATTATTTATTTTCTTCATCATCTTCATCATCGTGCCTTTATTATTTCTTCATTTTGTCATCCAGTGCATTAATCGCAAATAAAATAAAATTGTTTTTAAAATATAAAAAAATCCTATACTGATAAGAATTTCCGTTGTTACGGTACGCGATTTCTTAATCTTTGCAAATATAAACAAAATCGAGCTGATTTTATTACATTTAGACTTATGAACTCCTTTATTTTTTGTTTTTCCTAATCAACACAGTCCGGAGCCAATGGAACAGCAATTCCGAGTGAGGGCAGTGATTTCTCGGAAGATCAAGATTCACCAAAAATTAATCATAAACCATTCTTTAGGCGGCTTTCATTTAAAGCATTGAGAAAAGGAAAGGTAAGTGAACAAAAATGTGTATAATCATTGTTATGTGAAAGTTAGGCATTTCATTTTCGACTGCTCTGCAAATCAATATGCTTTTTGAGACTCTTTTTTTGACAGAAGCCACACTGGTCGTGATGATCAAGAATCAGGAAATACTATTGACATCAAAATACCTAGATTTCTTGATGTGTCTAATCCTAACCTTTAAGTGATCTAGACCTTAATAGAATAAAGGATCTAGGTATCTTGACATAATTAGTGTCTAAGATTGAGATTAGATTAAAAATTACGACCTAGATCCAACCAAATAGCAGTTTATTAATTCTTCAGCAAAATCAGTCACGATTATTTCTTATTGATTTGTGGAGCCAATGAAAAAATTCCTCATATTATTTATGTAATGGATTCATGTCGATAGGTTCAATTTCAGACAATTTTTCAAAAGTCGAACTCAGATGATCTTGACGTGTCGGGAACAGGACAGAATAAAAAGAAGCTAGCGAAGATTGTTGTCGAGTGCCGCAAGGAAGGAAATGTAAATTATATTCCACCAGAATCTCTCGATCAAACGAATGATAACAACAAGTGGGAGAAGTGTAGATTAGTTTTAGTAAAAACAGTTGGCGGATATATGCTGGAATTCTATCCTCCCAAAGCCTCGAAGGTGCGTATGTTTATAACGTCATATTCTTAGATATTGTAAACATAATAGAAAAATTAAATTCCAATGAATTCTTACAAGGTAAAATGTAAATAAGTTCTCGACAATTCAATTTGTCCTAAAACTTGATTATCTAATATTTCATGTCACGTTATTAATTAATTCTTAATTAGTTCATTTAAAACTATTCTAATATATTAGTTTGAAATGAGATATGATTAATGAATGAATCGCGTTTGTTTTTAAATTATCTAAACTCTTTGTAAGTTTTTAACGGTTCTTTGGTGTTTAAATATTTTAAAATAGAACTGAATTCAGATTTTTGTAAGTTCAAAAATTCTTTATTCTTATGAATTTAAAATTAGAAGTTTTTCTTCTATTTCTCAAATTTTTTTACAAACCAAATGAACAGCATTGATCAATAAATTTCCAGAAGATCAATAGAGTTACATGAAATTATGCTCTGAATGATTAAAATTTGAATTTTCGGAATGTAAACAAACACTAAGTGTGATTTCAAGCATTTAAAAAAAGGTTTTTAAGTTTTACTGAGTTTTACAACGAATTGATGACTGTTTAATAATCCATTAAACTTGATCATTCCATAAGATTTCATTAAAAAACGCCAAGAGCATTATCGATAATAGTTGAATGAATGTTTAAACTCGGCAAATGTTTATAAAAAGACGGGGATTTATTTACATTTTATATTTCTTTCATCTTTTAAAATTTTTACTTCTTACTTAATGTTCTGTATGCATTTCTTTAACCATATGAATAATTTGCGTAATCGCTTACCTAACACAATCTCCATCGATCTTTAAATTGATTATAGCCACGAAGTGGAGTTTTTTGCGCACTTATCAATGAAGCTCGTCAAACGATCCCATTGGAAATGCCTGACAAAGAGAATACGTTTGTCTTAAAAGCTAACGATCAAGAATATGTAATTGAGGCTAAGGATGCAAATGAAATGAAGAGTTGGTTAGCGACAATTCGATATTGTATGAAGAGTACGCCAACGTCCTCACAAATGCCACCACTTCCGTTAAACGATACTTCCAATACGTCAACAACAAGTGAGGCTGCTGGAGGAACCTCAAATACACAATCATCCACAGCAGCCAATAATGCATCGCACGATACATCTTTAAATAATAATTTAAGTAGTAACAATAACAATGTAAATAGCACAAACAATAACAATCAACCCGAACTTCCTCCACGAAGGCCGGAATCGTCGGGACACTTTCATCTCGAAGAAGATGATCTTTTACATGATTCAGACTTAACAGCTATGATGTCAGAATATCCATGGTAATAATTCTTTGGAGCAATTTATTGTTTTCAGATTATTTTAATTCTTATTGTGATTGATAGGTTCCATGGATTACTTCCAAGAGCTGACGCGAGTGCAATGGTTCTTCATGGTGGTGTATCTAGTCATGGTGTATTTTTAGTTCGTCAAAGTGAGACCCGCAAAGGAGAATATGTGCTAACATTCAATTTTCAAGGACGTGCTAAACATCTTCGAATGACTTTAAATGATTTAGGTAGAAATGAATTTTTTTATTTACTCTAACTTGCTTATTAACGTTTGCCTTCTTCATTTTTATCAACTTTTTTTTGTGTACATTATCAACAATAAATAAAAATACAATTTAGGTCAATGCCGGTAAGTTCTGATAACTTAAAGCCGTACTTAAATACTGAAAGATTTACAATCCCTTCTGAATATTTCTTTTTAGTGTACAACATTTATGGTTTCCATCAATCACGGAAATGCTTGAACATTTTCGACAAAACCCCATACCTTTAGAACAAGGCGGCGTCGCTGATGTAAAACTCAACGAATATGTAATTGCTAATCCCAGATCACTTCAGAGCCCTCGTCATGTGAGATAATATTTTCTTTATTAATAATAATAATAATAGTAGTTTTATGCATCACTTTACTGCAATGTTGCTGATTTATGTTCATTTTTTATTTGTTATGTTATTTCGATGGACTTTATTATCATTTAATAACTTTAAATTTTTCTGTGCTCATCAAAAAAAACTACAAAACATTTTTCTTTTAATTCCTCAACAAAAAAGTTGTTCAATTAGTAATTATTCTTTAGAAATGTACATACATACACTTAGGGGCCGTTCACTTATTACGTTCGCATTTTAGGGGGGAGGGGGGGGGGGGTTTGAAAAATTGTAACAAAATGTAACATAGAGGGGGGGGGGGGGTGTCAAGAAGAATGTAACGTTCTAACTGTCGTCTATCTTTTAAAAAAAAAGTTCACGAAAAAAATTTGAATTATGAACGTTCAGGGGAGGGAGGGGGGGGGGGGGGGTTGTAAGTTGTAATATGTTGTAACAAGGGGGGGAGGGGGGGTGAAAAAAGTCGGATTTTTGCGTAACGTAATAAGTGAACGGCCCCTTATAAATATATATATTTCTACAATATTTTATTCTTAAGTTAATTTCATGTATGATTTGTCGCAGAATGATTGTGACAAAAATATAATCAATTTTTAACGGAAGTTTGTATTTTGAATTTTTATGGTTTTTTGAAATTTGAAATTTTTCTTCCATATGATTTAAATTGCAAAGTATCGTTAGATTTCTTATAACCTTATTTTTTCACAGCCATTCTGCGAGAGTTATGAAAATAGATATTGTATATTATTAGTCGAAAAGAAATGAAATTAACGTTGAACAAAAGAAAAAAACAGTGAAAAGAACATTAGAAATGTAAATTATATTATTTTAGATTTACTTTTTAATTAATTAATTACGTAATTTTTAAGTTTAATTGGATTTATATCCATATCAATTACAGACTTAGATAATGGCTTTAAAGAAATATGAAAAAAAAAATTTTAACTTTTAATTTATGTAATTTTATTATTAGCAGATTAATCACTTTTTCATGATCCAGGAAACTTTTTTTTTTCTCAATAAGTCCATTGCAGAGCCTCATAGAATCTACAAAAAAAAAAAAACATTGCATTACTTACATTACACATTGTGTTCATTTTCTTGCTCAATTTTTGACAACTCAATTCCCTACAATTTACATAGGTACAGAGTCGTAGCTAGCACGACTCTAAATAGATAGCATAAGAAAAAAACAAGACAATAGTTTAAAAAAAAACCTCCATAATGCATTTTAATTTGATACATACGCTTCATTCATTAGTAATTCACAGAAAATTAATTTATAATTAGAGAAATTAATGTCATCTTAGAGATGAAATCCTTCTACTCAGCAGTTACGATGCTGTGTGACCAATAGTGCAATTGTTTTGGCTAAAGATTACTAGCTAAGAGAATATGATTGAAGGAAAAAGACGAAATAAATATTATTCATTTAAGAGCTATAAAGTATAGGAATTGCAGTCATATTACTGTCATTCCTATATTGTGTAGCTCGGAATAGTCTAGCGAAATATAATTTATTTGCTTAATGCTTGATTTCATTTTGTTATCTTATTAGCTGATGATGCAAATTAGCATTTTTCGTTCTTTAATTAACGCCCTTCATATTATTTTTTTTTAAAATAATCTCAATTAATTCAATTCATATAAACTGAAAAGTCATTTTATACCGATAATATACACATGTATTTTATAGCAAAATCAAGTAATCACAATGGCAGGCAGTGTACGAATTAAAACATGCGATTTAGATTTGATGCAAGAGCCACAGGTATATTGAACTTTATTATCAAAAAAATAATGTTAAATCATCAAAATTTTCGTTCTCTTTTGTTTTTTTTTTTAAAAAAAATCCTTTTTGGAGCTAACTCAATGTCTAGAGATTTAATAATTAAATAAAAGTAAATCAAAATTGTCTATTTCAGGACTCTTCTGAACGAGCCGTTGATAATCAATATTCATTTGTGTAAAAATTAGCTTACATAACACAAAATAATCCCCCCCAAAAAAGAAATAAATAAGAATTGGAGTTTATGTTATTCCTAACTTAATAATTTTATTTTGTTCCTTTCACATACCTTAATTAATGTAACTTTTTTCTTATATTCTCTGCCAGCGATATATGATTGATGAAAAAGTGTAAAGGAAGAAGAAAGAGGGAAAGTAAAAAATTCCATAATTGATATAAAAATATAAATACATAACATATATTTATGGTATAAATAAGAACATTTAATGCGTATTTTTTGATGAAGAATAATAGAAGAAATCATGTGCCATAAAATATTTATTTTATGCAAAAGAATCTAATTTAAATAAAGAGGAAAATCTTCAATGTAAATTTCGCAAAATATAAATTGTTTTGGTCTTTTATTTATAGCATTACAGTTGACAACCAATTATAACTTAATATAAATTCAACGGATATTTTCAATTTGAATTTCAACGAACTTTCAAAATTTAAAAATTTTGAACCGATTCAATAACCGATTTCATTTCAAATTTTTCAATTCCGTTAAATTTTTAAATGGAAAATCCGTTAAAATCTGAAAACACTGATTTGTCATCTAAAATGTAATTAAATAGACAATTATTGATTCTCGTTCCATTCTTTTATTGACATTTAAAATTTATCTTCATTATGAAAAAGTACATTTAGGTAATAAAAAAAAAAGATTTGTTCTCTAAAGATCCATCGAGATGTATTTTTAACATTTAACAATCTACTATGCTCAATCTATTATCATTTTTGACTTGTGGGTATGTATTTATTATTATTATTATTATTACTTTTTTTGTTTATTAAACTTGTAAAATATAAGAAAAAAAAGAAGGAAAAAGAAAAACGTCTAACGGCAATTTATCAACATTTCTAAATGCACATAATAATATTAATAGAAATAGACATCGATGGATAAAATCGTAAGTAAATGCATTGAAACACAGATGCTGTCATCAACTGGCAAGTGGAGTGACTTAATTCTTTAACGACTTTAAGTATGCATCATGTACTTTCTTTGTGAAGTCGTCATCATTATCAATGAGATATTTCAAAGCTTGGATCATTTGATTCTTTGTTAATGGCTCAGGTTGCTTCTTATCACCCTTAATATTAATATTGTTATTATTCGTATTATTATTATTTGACTGGACAAGCATATTCGGTGTTATCAACTTTGTCGTTTCCTTAGCACCACTGGCAGTTCCATTCGACGATGTATTCTTCTTATTTTTCATTGGCAATGACTGTTGTTGTTGTTGTTTTTGTTGCGACTGAAGAATTGAATTGAACGCTTGCGTTGTCACCGGATTTTGTACTTTAGAAGCATTCGTTAATGCAGAGTTTTTAGTCTCTTGTACTGTCCGTACAGTGTTAAAGTTATTTGAATTCAAGAACATTGCTAATGGAGAATTTGCAGTTTGGAGATCATTATGAGATGCATTGTTGTTCTGAGTATCCTCTAGAAAAAGCGTATGGTAGAAAAATCAATAACTCAAGTACTTAAGACCTTGAAAATTTATCAAACTTACGGTTTGGAATGACATTTCGTTCTATAGATTCTAATGTATTTTGTTTAATTTGTATCGGTAATGTTGAATTATTTGTACTTGGTTGTTTACTTATAGAATTGAAGAAAGAAGCGACCGAATCGTTCTGTTGTCGTGAATTATTCTCATTCTGTGCCTTATTTTGGGCTTGAGCTAACATTGAAATTATATCTGTCATCTTCTAAATTTAATAAAACATGCAAAAAAAATTGAAGAAAAATTTTCAATTGCTTTTTTTCATTTATTTATAATAAATTTAAAGATTCTAATTCTTGCAAAAGCTAGATTCTTACCTTAAAGCTGTTTTCTTTTTATTTGTAAGTTATGAAATGTTCTATAAGTAATTTAATTACAGTTTTTTATCAGTTGAATAGTCTTTCTTTGCCAAAACAAAATGTGTTCGTGAAGTTTGATGGTAATTTGATGAGATGCGCTCCAATTTTTTGATAAGATAACTTTTTAATGCTTGAAAAATACGCTTTTTGGTTTAGTCTTTCAATAAATAGCACCTGATCAATGGAAATGAATTTTAATTATCTTTATAATTGTCAAAATACAGACTTTGAATGATCCATTCACTCCAAATGTCTCCACTCTACTTCACAAACATTGCAAAGTTTCGATGTTCGAAAAAGTTTGTTTAAATTTTCGAAATCCGTTAGAAAAAAGAAGTCGTCGCTTTAATTAAGTAAAATCAAGATTAATGAATTTAATTAAACGGTAATAGTTTTTTCTTGTTAACATGAATTTGGTCCTAGTCTTTATTAGAACAAAGTAATATAATTAACAACTAACACTATCTTGTTGTAATTTATATTCGTAGTTTAACGGTTTAGTACCAATAGTAACCTTGAATTGAACTTTTGGGGATTGATAAAATCCAATAACGCATGCAGAAACCTGAAGAAAGTGAGATAGCTTACAGATGGGGTTTATTGTCAACGAATTTTCAGTAGAGTTCAATGTCATCTTGGGTATCAAAATCACACCTAAAATTTTCTTCTCACAATTGTTCTTAACACCTTCACAAATTGTTTTTGCGATAGATTTTGAATCGACAATGACTTTCTTTTCAGGTTTAATGGAATTGCAAGTATGTTGACGCTTTAATGAAATGACTGTTCGTGACACATCAAATCCACACTTATTGAAAATATAAATGGTGACCCTAATTTCCTGTCCTGAAGCATATCCCGTGAATGGAATGTACGCTTTTAGATATAACGATTTAGTTTTACATCCAAAACATCCAAAAGCCGAGATAGTTTCTTGACATCTTTTATCCATCAAGTCAATTCGTTTACTTATATCCTCCAATCTTATAACGGTAAAAGGAGTTTTGGCATAAATGTCATATTCCCATTCAGTAACCATACACGCTTCAACATAATAACGAATTTTTCCATATTTTCCATTCAAACTCGACGGTATTTCCGTTGGCAACTTGAATCAGAATTTAAATGTATATTTATCAGGCTTGAAAAGCATTGGTGCATCGTCAGAGCACTTAAAAATGTTAACTGATTCAGACACGTATTGTTGTCGTCCGACATACTCAGTCTCCTTTGCGAAGAAGGACTCACCCCCTTCCTTAAATTTGCAAATAGCATATCCGCGCGCAGCAACCTTTAATCCTATTAGATTATGAAGGGTGGAAGGGGAGAAAGAAGAGAAAAAAAATATGTTTATTTAGGTCAGGCACATCATTAGACTTTTTGACGTCGAGTCGCGACATAAGAAAAAAAAAAGTTGTTTACATGAGCACTTTTCATGTTTATTATCGCATTTGCAGACAGTCATAAGGTCAAAAAGAAATTAAGTTATAGCCAAAAAGTCACCTACTCAAAAAGTTCATACCTCGAAAACGATAAATTTTCTTTTTCGTGATTTCCAGCGACACTTCACCTATAAGCCCGCATCATACACAAAAAAAAATTTTTTTTGAAGGAAATAGAGATTAATTACTATCAAGTCATTATGTAATAAACTTTTGAAGCACAACAAACCATTCAAAACTTGTCCTGGCAGGAACATTGTTTGATCATTTTGGAAATACACTTTTAATTCACACATAATGAACAGTTTAATGTGGCACTAAAGTAATTACTAACAATAGAAATGCTTTAAATTTAACAACAATGAGAAATGGATGTGCTACGATGATTTCTAGTTTCTGATGTGTTTATGCGCAATGATATGAGTGAAATGATGGCATAGAAAGAGTATTGAGACGGTTATGAAAATTTAAAAGAAAAAAAAATATTCTAGGGGGTTAGTTCCATTTATATTGCAAGTGGGACTAATTAAGACATCAACAATTATTGTTACATCCTCGATGATTGAATAGATCATTTCCTAATGGCAATATCCAATACGCAGCTAAAGTCTGCTTGATAAACGCAGCATCAGACAAATCAAAACAGAAAATTCTTAAAGGATATTTTAGAATTCTACAGTTTTTACTAAGTTGATGTCCCCCGAAAATCTGATATGTACTTTGATGTGTAAAAAGTTTCAATTTCAAAAATTTGAATTAAAACGTAAAGGACATTAAATTAACTTTTGTTATTTACTAAGATTTCTAGCGTATCTACCAAGCTACAATTTAAATTATCAACTTTTAATTCATAAAATTGATAATTTTCCAAAAATATGTTGAGCGTAATTTTCACTCGAGATTTGAAGAAGAAAAAAAAATTTTATGTGTAGCAATAAACAAAAATGGAGTGATGTTCTTTGAAAATTTTAATGGAAAATTTAGTGAAAGATGATTAAATTTCTATTATTATTTTATATATTTTGCTTAATATGGTTTCGTACAAATGGACAAAATGATTTGCATTGTCCCCAAATGTGCCAATGTGAGAAAAATGAAGAGAATGGATTGAAAGTTAAATGCGAAAAAATAAAGGATATTAAAGAAATAGTTTTCGGCAACATTTCAGCCGAGATAGTTCACTTGTATGTATTCTATGACTATCTTTATCATTTAATTACTAGAATTAACGCAATTGTTTTTATTAATTTACAGAGATTTGTCAAATAATTTCATAACAAAGTTGGACGAAAGTTCATTCAATACCGGAGATTTTAGTAAATTGACTCGATTGAACTTTAGCAACAATCAAATCGTAAACATTTTTCAAGGTGCCTTAGACAATGTAAAATCATTAAAAATATTAGATATATCAACAAATCCTTTAGCATGTAATTGTGAATTATTGTGGCTTCCTGAATTCTCAAGATCATATGGAATTAAACTTAAACCACCACCAAAATGTGCAACACCAGAAGAATTTAAAGGACAGCCATTGAAGAAAATTCAAGTTGGAAATGACATTCATTGTTCACAATTTAATCATAATCAAGCATCAGTGCTTGACTTAGTACCTGATAAGCCACAATTGATATTTGAAGGAGATTCATTGACATTAATGTGTCGAGCACCACGAGTTGCCATTGGATCAATGCGAGAATCTGAAGATTATATTACGAAAATTTATTGGGGTTGGTCTGAGAAAATTATTGATTCAGAAAGTCAGGACGACGTGATATTTTTGAATCCTCGTGAAAAATTCCCATCCGTCATTATAGACGAGAGACACTACTCAGATTCCGGAATCTTATATTCTATCCTGAAAATTCCATACATTACGAGAAACCATTCTGGCATGTTCGATTGCACCTTGATATCATTGCAGGCAAATTTATCAAGAACCGTCTCTGTTTATGTCATTTCCGATAAAACACAATATTGCTTTGCTCAAGAGACTAATGATAATAAAGGATGGTTTTCATGGCCCAAAACTATTCGAGGAAATAATGTTAGGCTTCCATGTTCAATTGAAGGTGTCGGTGGAAGTTATGCATTAAGACGATGTAATGAGGCTGGAAAATGGGAAGCTATAGATCACTCATACTGTCCATATACTCGAGAAACAACACGAATTTTGGAACAATTTTCTAAAGTAAATTTGTCTATCGCACGAGGAAGTGTTTTGGAATCAGCAAGAAGACTGAAAACTTATACAAGCAAATTATATGAGGATGGGGAATTGAAGTTTCAAGATCCATTAGATATAGTTTATATTGAGAAGACAATTGAGAATTATCTCGAATTTGTACATACCGAAAAGGAATTAGGATCAATAATTATCGATATCGTGTCAAATCTTATGGAATTTCCAAGAAATTTATTAGAACAAGCACAAGCAATTAATGGAACTTGTAAGAAATTGATTGATGCAGTAGAATTAGCAGCATCTTACTCGACATCTGCGGATTCACAGAAATCAAACTTGGCAATAGAGTTATTTAACATTCCAATGGACATATCTGTTGGAATTCTTTGTTCCTGGATAAAAATTGATGGACATAGAATCTTTCAGTGTAACACAGCAAGTAAAATGCAGAGCCTTGCATTTCATGAAAGAAATATTGAAGCAAGTATTCAGTTTCCAGCCACACAGTACTCAAATCCACAAAGTCATTCGCACAGATTATTAGTGTCTGTTTATCAGAATACAAAACTGTTTCCACAAAATCGTGTACAAGGAAATTTCCAAGTTACATCCAATATTATCGGAGCAAAGATTATGTCCCAATCAAGTTCATTGGTTCCAATGATTCCGAAAAATTTATCAGATCCAATTTACATTGTCCTACGAGGAGCTCCATTTCATGATGATATCAGCATACCGAAACCAGTTTGGTGGGATTCTGACTTGAAAAATGGAACTGGCGATTGGTCATTAAGTCAAGGGTGTCAATCACTTCATTACTCTCATGGAATGTTAATGTTTTCATGCAATCGTTTGGGATTCTATGGTCTTGTGCAGCATACCAAAGCATTAAATGATTTTCCTGACCGTCCTGATGCTGGAGCTAAATTCCGCTACTCGCCATTCGCTTTTTATTTCGGATCGTTTATATTATTTATGTCAATGTGGCTAGTAATCGTTACTTATATATTTCATTTTAATGAAATTATGATGGGAAGAAGAATCAAGCATTCTCTGATTAACACCTGGATATCTATATCAGCTTTAGTGTTTATTTTTGCTATTGGAATTTATCAAACTGAGGATCATAAAGTGTGCCAATTTTTCGGAATTTCAATTCACTATTTAAGTTTATGTGTCCTCTTATGGATATGTGTGTCAGTTAGCAACATGTATAAAAGAGTTTCAAGGAATGATCGTATTGGAATGGAAGATGATATGCCAAGAGAAGAACAGAGGATTAAAAAGAGCGTTCTTGGACTGTATTTTGTCGGTTATGGTATCGCATTATTAATTTGTGGTATTAATTCAGCAGTTAATGTTAAGGAATATGCAAGCTATACACACTGTTTTATGGATTCAAGTTCTGAACTTGGTGCATTATTTTTACCAGCATCTATACTTCTATTCTTTCTTATCATCATGTTTATTTGCATTCGATTTCATTTGAGAAATCGAACAGTTTATAATGCACATTTATCGGAAGGAACTGAAGCCTTAGAAATAGATCTCCTCGAATCAAATAATGCTGTAAATGCAGCTCGAAGTGTAAGAAGTGTACGCAGTGTGAGAAGTTTAAGTACACAACCAACAAACAGCTCTGCTGATGATTTAGAATCAAGTCCAAGAACGCAATTAAAATCATACATTATCATGCTTGTGCTTTACTTGTTGACATGGATAGCAGCTTCGTTTGCTGTATCATTTCCATTTAATGAACGAGTCATTTATGAGGAAGAAATATTTTCAATAGCTTTTGCACTGTTTGCAACTTTTCTTGGATGCTTTACAATGTTCTTTTATGGATTAGCAAGAAGTGACGTACGTGCTATATGGTCCAAATTCCGTCATTGTGGTAAATCATCAAAAGTTGTAACGACACCTATTAAAGATTGCGATAGAACAACTATCGGAACTGTATTTTATCATCAACCAATGAATTTATCAAGATCTAATAGTCACAATTCAAGACATCGACCATTGTCAAGTGTTGGATCAGTTCGCTTAAAATCATCTATGGAACATATAGTTGATCCAATGATGGTTAAGGACAATGGAGCATCAAACTTCATGTTAACAATGCAAAGACATCAAGCATCAGTTTATGGAGATGATTCTAGTAATGCCGAAATGTTCTATAATCCATCACAAAGCAATGCAGCCCGAAGATTCTTTAAGAAACAAAGGAAACTCCATAAACTGAATAATATTGATGTACAAAGGAGAAATGATTTTAATGATAATTCAAGCGATATTTCTTCAACTATTATGTCATACTCAAAACCAGTCAGTGAAATGCTAGGAACTAGCAGTAAAGTTAATAATACCAACATTCACGTGGACGAGAATAAGACAAAAATGAAGCAATTCTCAAATTCAAATATTCTGTCCGATAGTTGCAATGAAAGCGAGCTATTTAATGACATTTGTAATGAAGGATTGCGTGTTAGTACATTGAAGAGTAAAATTAACAATATTGAGGCTAACACAGTTAATAATTATACAAACTTACTGCACGATAATCAAGATCCAGTATATAAAATTGATGAAAAGCAGAAAAATTCTGATAAATCTTGTAATATTAATAAGCTTAATGATAATTCACTTTGCGGTGAAGGTCCACTTTATGTTAACACTAAGAATCTCATTGGAAACACTATTCAAGGTAAATTTACTCACTTTTAATTAAATTAATCTGTTCTCTATACACTAACCTTACAAAAAACGTCCGTTAAACATTCAAATTTTTAAAAAACGATATGAAACCAAAAAAAAATCAAATTTTTGAAAACCGTTGATTGTTTAAATTTTTTGAAAACCGTTAATAATTCATTCTTTATTTCACAGAAGTTAATGAATCATCAGATCGTGAAGAAGTTGAACCACTCATTGTGAATACAAATACAGACGCTAGTACCTTAGAACAAATGAATATAATTGGTCTTCCATCACCTCCAAAACAGTCACAATTCCATACACCCACAAAAACAGAAAATGATTTAGATTTAACACGTGAGGAAACGTACATATCGCCAGCATTAGAAATTTCAGGAAAATCAGTTTTTATGCAATCACCTCGAACAATAAGATCGAAATCAAGATCATTAGATCAGTTGAATATGATGACAAGTATCGATTATCATGAGACACATACACGATCTATTTCCTTCAACAACATATCATTACTCGACCAGAATAATTTTATAGACATGTTGCCTGTGTCTGAAGCAGCTTCTGTAACATACCAAATCACAGATGAAGTTCATGTGACATCTTCAATGATTATAAGTCGGGAGGAATCAAGAAGTCCAATATTAATTGCACCTTCGATGTGTGACATTGATGAGTTTGATCAACAAAGCAACTTTACAATAAGCAATGATACTGTAAATGATTCCAGCATGGACGATTTAGTGAATAGAAATAATTCAAATAGTCTCGAATGTACAGCAATTTTCCTAAATCCTGATAATACAGCCAACTTTAGCATTTACAATTCGTCATCAGCTCACAGAAATTCCAGCCCTACAAACTTTAGTGATATTAATTATCAAAATTCTGAATTATCAATTGGTGACTTTTATGCACCACAACCTGAAAATGATATGGACAATTTCATTCTAGCAGAAAGAGATAATCTTAATTTTGGAATAAGTGACGATGACGAGGACGATGACAATGCAAATCATGAATTTAATTGCTCAAGTGATTTTCTAATTCATCCGCAACAAAGCGATGAAGATGGAATTGATCAACTTTATCAGCAGGTACGAGGTCCAACTGATATTCCTCAATCAGTTAAGAAAAAGCCAGCGCCGCTACCTAAACCGAAAAATTTAAAGATCACACGAAATTATATCTTTCAAAATACAGGACTTACAAGTCCAACTGAGGACGAGAGCAGTATTATGGATTAGTTTAAACATAACTTTCAAAGTATTTATAATTTTTAAATTACTTAATCTACCTCTGTTTTTATAATTATGAAAAACAAATCCTTTCCATAAAAATGATGACGCAGTGTTGCTTTATGCGCTAACTTTAACATATTCAGAGATGTACCCAAATTGGTTTGAGGTTCAATGAACGAAGCACTATTTGTATGCATCTCTGCAAGCTATTTAAGGTTGTCTATATTTAAGGATGCTCTCTAATAAGATTTATTAAGCCAATAATAATATTAATATTCGCTTTATGTTAAGAGCAGTTAAGAGATTTACAAAATATACCTACTTAATTTAATAATGTGTATTTTACACGCATTCAAATCTTTTCATTTATGCATTTATAAAGATGAACTGTGAATATATGCCTTGCTATTTGTGCTGTACATATAGGAAATTACAAAAAGAAAAATGTAAGGAGAAAAACAAAATTTAAAATTGCTAATAATTAATTATATTAAAAATTTTACATAAAAAAAATCTCAAATTTGTTTTTTATTCATTAATTTACGTATTTTATGACAGAATTTTCCACAAATTTGCAATAAATTCAGTATCCTTATGCTGAGTATCTCGTTTCTTAAGCTCAACAATGAATTGTAATAAACTCATTTGTTCAATTTTGAGCGAATCATCAAGAAGATTAAATGACAAATCGTAATAAGTTGCAAGTTGCATAAGTTCGGAGATGGAAGGCAAACAAAAGCTTTGAAGGAAATTTAAGTCTTTTGCATGCAGCAGCTGTTTAATTAAATGCTTTTGTTGATGAAGCTTCTCGTTCATTATAATTTTTGCCTTGACAATCAAAGATCTAAGAATCTCATTTGACAACAGTGTTGTCGATGATTGTTCATTGGCAGTTACAATTTGTAGCGACTTGTTCTGCATCATTGTAGATAAGATCTTGAGTTGCCATAAATCTGATGATTTAGTTCCACTGTTATTGATTATTGACTCAATAATCTAAATAGCGAAAAAATACGTTACAAAAACATTCAAAATAAAAACGATTTTCAAATTCTAAAACCATACAATTTTTTTTTGAAATTTTCAAAACCATACAAATTTTCGCTATTACAATTGTAAGGTTTTCAAATGAATGAATCTACTCACATTATCAATTGAAATGTATATCCCCAAAGCATGAGTCTTGTCTCGAGTCAGGCAATCATATATTTGAAGCAATATATTGTCACGAAGATTTTCCTTTCCTTTGATTTTTAATCCTAATTCATTATCCACGTGCATTATCATTTTTGTCAAGTTTGCCATTAATTGATTATTATAGAAAGACATCAAATTTGCAGGTTCAATTTTCCACGATGAGAACTTTTCAGTTGTCAATGTTTGAGCTAATAGGCTCTTTAAACGATTAGGATCATCAAGATGTGATAAGCATCCAGCTTTTTGTACGATATCAATACATTCATTTGACTTTAAAATTTCAATTAATGTATCCCAATTTCTGTCTCGTTCGAATACAATTGGCCAATAATTAACATCATTAATATAGACAGCTTTTAATGTATCTAATTCTGGTAAAATGCATGGTGCCATTGTTTCTATCATTGACTTTTGATCAAACTCAATATAGCTTAATTTACAAACAACTAATTTGCCATTATCAAGATCACGTGGTAAAAATAATCGAGGCTCAACAGCCAATACATAAAGATGTCGCAATGCTTGCAAATGATATCGATTGTCATTACTGTGAGCAGGAAACTTGGGAAACAAGGCACAAATTAAAGCAGCAATAGCTTGAGGACGTCGTGAGATTGTATATCGTCCAGCACCAAGGAATAAAAATCCTAAAGCCATATGAATTGCCATATGTGATCCGTAAGTTACTGAACTATGTTGTGGACCAATTCTTGATCTTGTCATTCTTATCATTCTCAATATTTGTAAATTTCCAGTTCCAGCAAACACTAATGATAATGCAATCAGAACTAAAATAATGCACGACTCAACTGTTGATTTTCCTGCATATTCTCCAATGTATTGCCCATTTGCAGAAAAGAAGAATGTAATGATTTTCTTTAATGTCTTGAATGCTAATAAATTTTCTGTTCCTGCATATCGAAGTCCAATTACCATTGCTGCTCCAGTTACTATATTACAATATGATTGACAAATTGCTTCATGATCTAGATCCAATGGGTCATTTTCAGGATCTGGACGTTGTTTAATAATTTTCGAGAGAGTCTTTGATATTTGTGAATTAATCCATTCAGCTGTTGGCTCAATTGTATTCCACATAATTAATCCTCTAGCGATAACTCTTAACAATAACAAATCTGGTCTTACAAAATCTAATAAAAACATTGTTTCCGGGGGTTTCATCCAGTCTGCAACTGCTTCATTTCCACTCGCAAAATACATCAATCCCAGAGCTATTGTCGAGCCAGGAGCTAGTATAAATGAATAAAATTAAAAATAGCATGTAAAAATTAACGGTTTTCAAAAATTCAAATGAACTGTAGAGATTTTAAATTGTAAAAGTACGTTATAAAACTCACCAGTCACGTCGATATTAACTTGATCTCCTTCGCGAATCTGGAAACTTGGTAATTTATATTTGTCACGTTGAGTTCCTGATAGAGGACGTTTAGTTCCTCCAATCATGTAATAATGAAGAGTGTCAGCAAGATTGAGATCATCTAATCCGACATCCTTATTTCCAGCTTCAAGACACACCATTCCAAGAGCTAAGCCAGCAGATAAAGCATATGATTCTCTTTCAACATAATTCTCCATTTCAGGTCCTGGCGGTCGATTAATCTCTTGAAGTAGTGCTTCTGCTACATATCTTTTATTTGAATTTTGATAAACTAATCCAATTCCGAGTAAAGCAGCTACTTGCACATTATGAGGTTCATCCAATTCTATAGCAGTTGGTGGTAATAAAGATTCAATATGTATCGATAACATCCTTGTTATTTTAGTATCCATTGTTCCACGATAACTTGCTGCCATACCAAGAATTAAGCCAACACTAAGCAACTCTTCAGATCTTGTTAAAAAGTCATAAAGATAAGTATACGAAAGAGATTTAAGACTTGAAGTTAAGCCTAAAGCCATAAGAAATCCAGCATAAGAAGGTGGCATTTCAACTTCTTTCGGTTTATTGTATAAAATGTAAGCAGGATCAACATCTGTAGGATTAGTGGCAATTCTTAATGCTGAAGCAACTCCATTATGAAATTGAGGCCATAAACTCATATTTGCAGGCACTTCTATCTGTTGAAATTCAACGGTTGCACCTCGAGCAGTTTCTTTTCCAGTCAAACATAATTTTGGAATTGGTAAAATTTCAGTCAAAACAGGATAATAAGTTTTAAATGTAAACATTCCACGACCGACACTCAATGCCATTGTTCTTGTACATAAAGAAAACAATTGCTTTTCTTGTTCCTCTATAAAATCATGATCTGACATATTTGGTGCTTGTGTTATGTCAATTGTTACTGGTTTTGAGCTGTTTAGGAATTTTTTGACATCATTTATGCGAAGATCGTCAGGAAATCTTAACCGTAATAATTTAGTATCAATATGCTCCATTCCATCATCCTCAACTAGTGCCTTTTCTGTTTTAGCTATAACATCCGGTTGTGTTTGAATGCGTAGTGTCAATGATGTTTCTTGTTGTGCTTTTGGTGCTGGATATTTCTTATCTCTCTTAAATACTGAATGTCTATAAAGTTCGGGTCTTAAAAGCAATTTATAAGCATCACGACTGCATCCAATTGGTGGATTTAAACGAACAGTTTCTAAAGTCTGACTAATGATATAATTAACAATTATAGGCATCCGTTCCAAATGTGCTCGTGTAATTTTTTTCTTCAGCATAATGTCAATAACTGTTTTTTGAACTGATGTTTGTGGAAGTGTTGGAAACTGAATATTAGAATTGGCGTTTTCATTTAGTAACGTGACCAGCTTAGTTGCATGACTTGCAGTTTCAACTTTTCCAAAAATTATTGCCAATATTTCAAAAATATCTTTTGATAAAGAATTAACATTCGGAATGTACGGATATTGTCTTAATTCCTTTACATTCTTAATCGCAATTTTTGTTATTTCCTCAAAAATGCTTATGGGTTCACTAATCAGTTCCTTTTTCAACAATTTTTCGCTATCATTAGCAGAAATTTCACGTTTTGTTTTAATAAAAATTAAGCTTGGATTATCCTTGATGTAATGGAATCGATAATTCTCTAGTTTAAAGTCAACAGACAATTGACAAAGAAGCTCAGAAAGTAAGATTAACTCGTTGCTCATTGACAGATCAAGCTTAAGATCTTCATACAATAAATGCAAAGAATAGAAAATGATTGGTATAAATGAAAATAGCTGTGAATCAGCATGATAGTTTTGCAGCATCTCGTGATCTTCGTCGTCATTTTCTGCTGTTTTTGTAGGATGAGAGTTATTTATATCCAATAAAAATTCCCAATCAGAATCAGCTCCATTTTCACTCTTTCGTCGCTTTTTTGGATCCACAATTGCACTGGAACTTGATGAATGTGAAACTTCATGTGGACGACCCATCATTTCCAATAATAAGCTCTTAAACATTTCAAATTCCTTCTTTAAACTTATGTCCTTAGTTCCTGGTGAATTTTTAACCGAATACCATCGAACTAGAACTTTTAATGCTTCTTTTTGAAGGATTTGTCTTAGTGCAATAAGCATTTTCCTTATTAATGGATTTTCACACATTTGAGGTAGTTCAATTCGATACATTTTGCCACTAGAAAATGCCAACGTTATTCTATTCCAAACTGGATCACGTAATGAGACACAATTGTTAAGTCTATGTGGATTATTTTGTAATGGATGTACTGGCGATAACATGTGAAATTCTTCATTTAATTTCATATCAACCATCGGCGATGATATGTTTGGTAAAATGCTTGATCGTTTAGGAAATGCTGGTGTATTTAATACAGATGATACAGTCAAGTTACTTAATATTCCACCAACATGAATCTTGCCAACAGCAACAGGTCCCGAATAAATCATTAAAGTTCCACAAGATAATAAAAGTACAATCATATTCATTTTTGGCAAATTTACAGCATCTTTTGCAGAAATACATACAGTAGATCCAAAAACTGGGCTATTAATATTGTTCATACGTTCAACTTGAAGGAGATTTAATTTAAACGATTTTGGAAGTAAGAAACAAAAGTATTTTTGACCAATAAAATCAGTATGAAGAAAACCTTTAGATGACATTTCATTGTATTCATTCCAATTTGATGAACTTTCAGACCAGATTTGTTCGAAAATCAAGTCAGGAACGAGGGGCTTTGAAGGTTCACACTCACCAATTTTTCGTGCCATCATTGATATTGAATTCCGATTAATTGTTGAATCAGTAAATGACTTTAAACTTGATCGATAATTCGCCGACATGGAATTATGAAAGCTCAAAATGTGTGGATTGCTGGATGTTGTTGGAGTTTGTCGTCCAGAGATATTCTTTGGTGTCTTAATTGAATTATGAACATTTGAAAAACCACCAATTGTAGACATTGAATGGCTCATAGACGTATCATACAGTCCATTAACACTTGTTGCTTCATCTTTTGTTGCTTTACGTAGCTTACAAATTATGTGCTTTCCAATACGGTTGTTAAACATTAAAACTAAGTCACTCTCATCGCATGTGAAAATTATCTAATTAAAATTATAATCAAAGTCAAGAAACTATAAAAAATTCCAAGTCCTCGTGTTATTTATCTAGGGACTTCAGCGCATTTTTGACGCAGCGATCAGTATTTGATAAGCATCAAAATACGAATCAATTAGCAAAAAAAACCCTAAATGTTTGCCTTTATCAAAGCATAGTCGTTGTATTTCAATAATATAATCCACAATGATTTATATTCGGAAAAAATGTTCAAAAATTCAAAAATGACATATTAATTAAACTACATCTTTAAAATTCCTGATTAAAGATCTTAACTTGAGGCATATTCAGTGAAAGTATCTCGTTTCAATTTGATGTCTAACTCCAGAAATCTTTAATTTATTTTCAACAAAAATTTAATTAAATTTTGTTTATGAAAAAAAAACTTTGATTTTCTCTACTAAGTTGTTATTTCCTTATCTTGCTAGCTGTTGTTAGCAAGGTTAAGCTTAGATTTGCACAGGGTTGTTAAAACATATTCTATTTTCCAGAATATGTACACATATCCAACACATTTTGCATGTTCATGTGTGGCAGAATTCATATGTTGGTAGATAATATATGTCACACATTGCATATGTGCACATATTTTATGTGTGATGTGTGCACATATTTTATGTGTGATTTGTGCACATATTTGATGTGTGACACATTATTTTGTGTCACATATGAAAATGTGTGATGTGTGGTTATGTATCAATAATTTTTTTAAATAAATTTTACGAAAAAATATCACTTTAGTCCCGCAAATTAATAAATATGTGCAGATTTTGCATGTTCACACATGATATCTACACACATAAATATGTGTCACACATCACACATAAAATATGTGACACAAAATAATGTGTCACACATCAAATATGTGCACACATCACACACAAAATATGTGCACATATGCAATGTGTGACATATATTATCTGCCAATATATGAATTCTGCCACATTGTACACGTGAACATATTTTTAAAAAAGGCCAGATTCTATTGTTAACCAGCCTGGATTTGCATATTAAAACTACCAAATCAAAAGAAAACTGCTTATTAAGTCTTAAAAATGCAATTGAAATCTGAGTATTTTTACAAAACTTAAACTATTCATAAGTTGAAAAGTCTTCCAAAGACCTTTTTGAAACCTGTATAAATCAATTAATTAAGCTTCAATCTATCTCACATATTACTGAGGACATGCTGCTTGATGCCGTTTTCGAGATATTTGCGATCAACGTTTACATAAATTTTCATACAAAATTTGATCATGCACAATTTTTTTTGATACACTTTTACAAACTTTTGGTACTTATTTTTTGAGCAATGAACGAAAACATTATGTAGAAGATGCTAAAAGAATCAAATCAAGAGAAATTAACAAAAACTTTCAATCTTCTAATGTGTCGGAAAAAAAATTGTGCACAAGGAATTTTGAACATTTTTTCCGAATCTGAATCATTGTGTGAGCTAATAAAACAAACTAGAACTCTCTAAGATCTCAGACACAGCCGAGCAGCCGATCAAAATGAATTATTAAGCTACCTTTTAGAAACAAGTTTCAAAAATGCGGTAAAAGTGATTAATTTATTAAATTACCTTGTATTCATCTTCTGTAATGTAGTTGATCAATAGCTGAACTTTAAGTAATACTGGAAACATTTCGTCCAAAGCATGAGTAAGTGAGAATATTCGAGGCATTGGTAGGACATGCCCTTCAACCATGTCTGTAGATGCATCCTTTTCAATCAAAATGCAATACTTTGTGATCCAAATTTTCCTTATAGGCGATTCTATTGCAGTTATGATATTTTCTCCATTCTTTGCGTATACTTTAAGACTTTCCGAATCAATTATGCCAATTCCTTGATGTTCCTGACCTTTATTGGATTTTTTTAGTGATGGTGTTTTCTGGATCTTATAATCTGGATCTAGAAAGTTTTCACTGCAAAAGAATGCAAATTGAACTGGACTCTTGGTTGTATAGCATATTTCTGATGATGTACTGTCTCGTCCTCTGGACCATACAACAGTATGTCCAGAAAAATACAGCTCTTCCTCAGAGTTTGCAATTGGAACTGCGAGAAATTGAACATCATTTTTTATGTCATTCCCATAAAACTCTCGTATCTTCCATAACTCATTGTGATGATGCTCTTCTGCACTAAGATTAACATTTCTTAAACGATCGAGTAGAATAAACTCATTAGAAATCAATTCGGCTTTCTTGTTCAATGGTCCACAATGATTTTTAACAATTTTACGACCATTTGGAACGAATTCTAAAGGATCTAGTGCAGCAATCATATCTTCTTGATAGACATCCAGATTGTAAACTATTAGCTGCAACTATACTATCAAGTTTCACTTATTTTAATTAAATTTTTGATAATTTTGTAAAATAAAACAAAGACTCAAAAAAGTAACGTTTGCGTATTGTTTACAAAATTTGAATTGTTAAAAGATCGTTAAAGAAATTTATTGATAGCATTTATTAATCCACTTTTTCTTCTTTTTTACAGGCTTTTCATTATTTTCATCTGGATTTTCTTCTCCAGTCACTTCCGTCTTTCTTTTTCCAAACTTTTCACTAAATGCTGAAATGTTTTGCTGCTTTTGTAAGTAAAATTCATTTAAACCATCAAACTTTTCTAAAACTGCAACGAAAAATCCATTAGTCAAATCGCTGCAGTCATCATCATTGCTCGCGTATAGCACATTCTGTCCAATTCCTGGATAACTCTTTTCATTTCCATAATTTTTCCATTTATTATTTAAAATCTCTCCAGCATTAACCAGTCGAAAGTTACCGATTTTAGATAAGCAACTCATAACAACTTCCTCATTCTCTTCAGGATATATGGAGCATGTAGAATAGACAATTCTAGTGACATTTGGAAATGATATCATGGCATGCGATAAAAGTTTAAATTGTAATCCTGAAAGCTTGTATAAACGACTCAAATCTTTATGAGTATCGCTCATTGATCTATTTGCAATTCCACTTCCTGAACATGATGGATCTAATAAAATATACTCAACATTTGGAACGTCTTCATCTTTAATTTCTAAGACATCACGGTTAATTGTTTGTATAATAGTGGCATTTGTAGCTTGTGTCATTTCTACTAATGTATTATATCGACGAGTGTTCATTTCTACAGCATATATCTTGCCTTTATTTTTCATCATTGCAGCCAAATGTGTCGTTTTATTTCCAGGCGCTGAGCACATGTCCAAAACCGTTGATTTATGAGGTGGATTCAATAAGAATGAAGGTAGACACGAAGCTTTATCTTGCAGTAAAAACTTTCCTTCAGCAGCTAGCTCATTGGATGCAAAATACTTCTTACTGCTTGGTGGAAATACAAAGAGATTTTTAATATGGAAATCAGAAAGGTAGCTTTCATCATCTAAGTTTCTAACTGATTCAAGGAATTCCTCATAAGTCTCAAAAGTATTTTCAATATATCTCCATCCTTCACGTTCAAAATATTCCATTGCTTCTGCTTTTTTCATCAACAGCGTATTAAGACGTACATATCGAGGGACTGAAAAAATAAAATGATTAATCATGTCCTTATATGCTATTATGTAAAACAGTTGAAATTTATTAAATACTAATTATGAACAATGGAATCATGCAAAAATATGACTTGAAGGAATGCAATCACTTGATTTTTAATTTGGTTTTTGCAAACTGATTAACAGTTTCTTCCTCGTTTTTGGCATCAATAAATCCAACAATGGCATATAAAGCAATAATAACGTTGACTGTAACTACAGCAGCCAAAACTGACCAGCAATTTGCTTCAAATCCATAAATTTGGAAATAATGATTAAGAAGATGTTTTGTTCCATAAAAAGCAAGAAAAGGTAATGTAAACATCAAAACACTGAAGAACAATAAGTACAAAATTGCCCAAGCTGCTTGTCTCGTGTGATAAGGAATCAATTCTTCAGCATCAGCTGGATCATCTTGCTTCTTTTCCTCATCGTTTGATTGTTCCTCACTTTGTTCCCGCATATTTACTACGTTTTTTTTATTCTCACGTTTCATAATTATGTCCTGTAAAATTTTTAAATGATATTATTATGCGAGTTTCTTTCTTACCTTTATGATATAAGTTTGTATGCAATTTGGGAGCTTCCCCGAGATCGAGAAGCGCTTCTTTTAACTGATCATGATAGGACCTAACGCATTCTACAGGCTTTGAAAATCCACTCAATTCTCCTCGACCAAAAATCAACTCAGCGACCAAATATGTTGCTAGATATTTATTTGGAATCTTTTGCAAGATGTCAGTTTTTCCAATTATTTGATCCAACTGTCTTTCATTTGCCTGGATTTTATTAAGCATCGCAATCGTTGTTCCAACTCTCTAAAATGTTAATTTTAATGTTGTTATTTTGATGAAATAATCAATTTATTTGTACTTACAATATGTTTGTTGTTGTAGACCAAATCTTTGAGGGATTTACCCTCAGAGACTTGCTGCAAAATCTTTGCTGCCTGTCTATATTGCGTGGGAACATTGATCTTCCTGTATACTGGATTCTCGTTTTCTTCAGACATGTGACTTATATCATAAAGTTAATTTTTCAACAAAAACAGCACTTACTTTAAGCCAATTTCTATAATTTCCTATTTAATTATAAAGTAGAGCTAGCTATCAACGAGTCCAGCTTTGAATTTAAGCCTTAAAACAGTTCTTTTCTAGGATAAAATTAGTGTTTTCAATTTGTTTGTATTTCTTTGTTGCTCAATTTTCAAAAGAGGTGATGTCAACTGAAAGGTTTCAATATTTAAGGTTTTTAAGGGATATTTTTTTAAAATTAATTTTTTATAATATTCTGAATGAAAGTGACAGTGTTAAGATCCCAGACATATATATTATTGATAGATGAGCTTAAATCACTGTGTCTCTAGTGATTTCCTTACAAGTTTAATGTTGTTTACATAAAGTTCATGTGGGTTGATAACCCTTAGAAATCCGCGAAAAAATCATGTCTGGCTCTAAAAGTTGTTTTGATCATCGAAAATAATGTTAAATTTACTAATCGTCAATGACTTTTTACCACAAAATCAAAGAAAATGCATGAAAAATAGCTTTTAAGTATTATTAAAGGGTTTATCATAGAGAAAAACAAAAGTTAAAGAACATTATTATTTACTATGAATTAATTGGATAAAGGTTTATATTTCAACGGTTTTAAAATATTTAAATAATATGTGGTGAGAAAACTCACCACTTTGTTGAAACTCACCATAATAAGTGGTGAAATGTGACTATATTGAAAAAAATATAATTTTTCGGTAGATCCAATAATAATTGAGAAACTTTTTGCGGAAAGTAACAAACACCTTCGAATCTCAAAAGATTTGATTAATTAAACAGCTCAAATATACCAGTAAATCAAGAAAAACAAAAAATTATAAAGCGGTCGAAAAATTGATCACAAAAATTGGAACAAGACCAAGCGTGCAAAGGAAGTGGATGAAAAGTGTAAAAATTACTAATCAAAAAGAAACACAATTTCAAAACATTATTTAAATTATAGTTTTTAACAAGAGAGAAAAGGTCGAAAACATATTGAAAAGCTGGCAAATATAACATTAAAGAATTATAACGCCAATTAAAATGTGAAATAATGTGAATTTGACGGCTTTAGGAAAATATAAAACTTCTTACTCAGAAATTTCTAAGAAAAACAAATTTTTTTGAAATTCATAACAAAAAAAAAGTTATTACAATGGTTGCACCTTTTAAATACGATTTGTGGAATTCGGATCCAATCCGTGAAGATGATAATATTCAAGTGCATTGCTTTATGCCAAATGGAAATTATATATTATTTCATTGTCCTACAACATTAACACTGTTTGAAATGAAGGAGGTATGCATTATACACATATATACATAAATCTATATCTCATACTCGTCTGTTATGACGAGAAGGAAAAATCCAGTAACGTGTGATTCATTCATGCGACTAACTGGATGTTTTGAATGAAAAATAATAAAAAAATATATCTAAATGCGTCATTATGTTATCATATATGTACAAATACGATGCACTATTTTTAGCGTTGATTTTTCTTTAATCCTACGTTCATTGCTTAATACATTTCTTTTCTCTTTTTTTTTCGTTGCTGGCAAATTTTCTAGGAATTGTGGGAGGAGGCTGAAAAATATCCTCTGTTTGGACATCTACGTAATAAAGCAATGTACGTCATTAAAGCTATAAAGTCTCCTTCAGCACTTTTGGAAGAAATAATAGATGAGTCGCAGAGAATATGCGACGTACAGCCTTATTTCGCATTATTTAGGATATCAGAACGTCTTGAGAATGAATCAGAAGACATCAATTTAAACAAAAATATTAATAGTCTCATAGGAAAGAAACTTGATGACTTCAGAACATTAAAAAATCCAGAGGTAGACAATATTTTTTTGTGCTTATTTTTTCCCATTCCTCGTATTTCTCAAAGTTGTAAACAAATAGTATTATAATGTATTGTATTATGACGACGACACAGTCATCGTAAATACAATACAATACTCTGATACATGCTTATGACTCAAGTTCGTTATTATTTTTATTTTTCACATTTTCATTTCAAATTTTTTTTTATTTTTTTATCATCTTTAGGTAAACGATTTTCGGTACCATATAAATGTATTGGGCGAACAAATTGCAAATCGTCGCTCGAAAATGACTCTGAAAGAGAAAATCTTGTATCAATATCCTCCAAAATTAGCGAAAATTAGCGAAATCCCACATGCTGTTCAACCGGTGTTAAGGGAAAATAATGAATTTCAAATTGTTGCGAAACTATCCAATGAGAATATATCAACAATCACACTTCAGGTTTCGTGTTTTATTAATCCATCGCAATTACTTGAGCAAATAATTCTAAAGAAGCAATCAAAATTGAAGAATTATCGAGGAAAGATGCATGACTATATTTTAAAGATTTGCGGTCAAGAAGAATACATCTTTGGAGATTTTCCGCTCATTCAATTTTTGTATATTCAAGATCGATTGTCGCGTGGTGAAATGCCGATGGTCGTTGTGACTTATGTGACTGACGTGTACGTCTTTACTAGTAATACTGAAATTTTAGAGAAAAATCAACCGAAAAAGCAAAATAAAGGCGGAGGTGGTGGTAATACATCAACATTAAGAAAGAAAGGCAAGAACAAAACGACTTGGGAAGTTGATGATAATTTCCAAATCACAATTAATACAATCTACAATTTAAATATTGATGCTAATAAGACTGTTGAAATTGGAATTCAAGCGGGTATTTTTCATGGTGGAAAATCCCTTTGCGAGAAACAAAATACGGAGGCAAAGAAGGCAATAGAAAATGAAAATAATAAAGCGTTTGCAGAATGGAATGAGACTTTAAAGTTTGATTTAAAAGTTTGTAATATACCTAGAATGGCACGCTTATGTTTAGTTGTATATGAAGTAGCTAGAAATGCAAAACATGTCCGTGCGAGACGTTTAAAGGATACACAAAAGGATTTATTTATTAATCCATTATATTTTGTCAACACAACATTATTTGACTACAAGAGTCAATTTAAAAATGGAGGTCAGACACTTTATTCGTGGACCTATTCAGAAGACTCAGATTCTGATGAATTATTACATCCTTTTGGAACTTTAGAACCAAATCCTCGTACTCGCGAATGTGCTCACATTACAATGATCTTTCATTCGTATCATAATAATGATATGACTGTAGTATATCCAAATAAAAGAGAAATTCATGAGTATGCTGAACAACACTTTCAAAAACAAACACGAGATGATGCAAAGCTTATTGAAAATATTATTCAGCCATATTTGCACAATGATCGAATTTCTGACATTTCTGAACAGGAGAGGAAGGAAATTTGGGAAAGGCGTTATGATTTAATAACGTATGTACCAGACGGACTGCCTTGTTTGCTACATTGCGTAGAATGGAATAATCGTTATGAAGTAGCTGAAATTATTAGAATGCTTAGTGATTGGCCTCAAATGTCTATTGAGCGATCTCTCGAGCTACTCGATTATGCCTATGCTGATAGTTATGTTCGTCGTTTTGCCGTAGAATGCTTGAAGAAAATTCAGGATGAGGATTTACAACTTTACCTGCTTCAACTAGTGCAAGCAATCAAACATGAGCCCTACCTTTATTGTGATCTTGTAGAATTTTTATTGCAACGTGCCCTTAATAATCAACGAATTGGACATTTCCTCTTTTGGCATTTACGCTCCGAAATTCAAGTGCCGTCTGTAGAAGTTCGTTTCTCATTGATTCTAGAAGCCTATCTGAGAAGCTCTAAAGAGCATATATCAATATTGATGAGACAGCATTTATGGTGAGTAATTCATTCATAATTTTTTATCACTACTATTTCTATTTTTGATGAATGAGTGTGCCTAAGTGTGCTGCAAAGATTGTTTTTCATTCGTGAAAAGTCAAAAACAATAAATGCGTACAAAGACATTTATGACAAATGGTTTTACCAGGTTCTACGTCTCTCATAATCCCAAACCTGACACTTTGAGCTTTGCTCTTGATCTCGACGTAGTTTCAAAATAAATGTCGATAATGCACACACAAACATTCCTTTGAAATATTTTATCAATTCTATTTTGTTTTTGTTATTAATCTCGTTACAGTCTTGAGAAATTGAAAATGGGAAGTGAACAAGTGAAGAAAGTTGTAAAAGATAAGACGAAATCAAAATTGCTGGAATTTCTAAATACTCCACATGTGATTACTGATCTTGTGAATGTAACGTCACCTCTTAACCCAAGTTTCCGATGTAGGAGCGTTAAGAAAGAAAAATGTAAAGTTATGGACTCTAAAATGCGTCCAATTTTATTTCAATATGAGAATATCGATCCAAGCGGTGAGGATATTAATATAATTTTCAAGAACGGTGATGATTTAAGGCAGGACATGCTCACACTTCAAATGCTCAGGATAATGGATAGAATTTGGAAGTCATATGGTCATGATTTTCGCCTAAATACGTACGGTTGTATAAGTATGGATAGACGATTAGGAATGATTGAAGTAGTTCTAGATAGCGAAACAATAGCAAATATTCAGAAGGAAAAGGGCAAATTTGCTGCCACTGCTGCATTTCAAAAAACTTCTCTTTATTCGTGGCTTAAGGATCACAATAGTACAGATGAACTTTTACTTAAAGCCTGCAATGAATTTACATTAAGTTGCGCAGGATATTGTGTTGCAACATACGTTCTTGGCGTGGCTGATCGACACTCTGACAATATTATGGTTAAAAAGAATGGACAACTCTTCCACATCGATTTCGGTCACATTCTTGGACATTTTAAGGAGAAATTTGGAATAAGAAGAGAACGAGTTCCTTTCGTGTTGACACATGATTTTGTATACGTCATTAATTTGGGAAGAAGTGATAAGGAAGCAGATGAATTCAAGAAATTTCAACAATTATGTGAAAAAGTAAGTTGATTCTCTACATCAGTGGTTTTAATAGATAACAATTTTTAAAATATATTATTTTCTTGACGCAGGCCTTTATGATACTCCGAAAACATGGAACTTTAATCTTATCACTGTTCGCAATGATGATCTCTACGGGTTTACCAGAATTGTCTTCTGATAAAGATCTCAATTATCTGAGAGAGACTTTGGTATGTTCTTACTTTATTCTTTAATTGATGACATTTTTTTAAAGATAATTTTTCTTAAATTTAGGTGCTCGATTTAACAGAAGATGAAGCACTACGTCATTTTCGATCAAAGTTCGATGAAGCCTTGCAAAACAGTTGGAAAACATCATTAAATTGGTTTTCACACAACATCAGTAGAAACAATAACAAGTGACAGATTACAATATAACTGTTGCTTTTGTAAATACCTACGTACACAGATAGTAATTTGGCGTAAATGTTACGCTTAGCGAAAGAAAAAAAAAGTGGGGAAGGAAGGAAGAAGAAAAGAACATGTCGATCTCGTTATATGATAACTTACCCGAGCAGTACATCATGTGAATGACTGCCGCTTTGGGTTGTAAATATTTATAAATTCAATTTTTGTATGATTGTGACTTTAATCTCTCATTATTATCTTCGTTTTCTTAAATTGAATATAATTTTATTTTATATTAAAATTCTCATATGGCCAAGGAGAGCATGACGAACTATCGTCTTCAATCCTTGAATATTGCATCATATTGCTTTAAAGTGATAATTAATAGTATATCATAATTAACCTAAATGAATATTAACGAAATTATATCAAAGTGAAAGATTTATAAAAGAAATTTGATTACAGGATATAAATTAAATGATGTTATAAACATCTTATTTAGTTATTAGAGATGCTCCATTTCTAGCTTGATTATTCAAAGATTTTATTTAAATGTTTTTGACTGTTTATTTTTAATTATTGTGATGTCGATTTATTAAAATCTTTTTGAATAATATAATTTTTAAAATTACTTTTAATCAAGATCTTTGGATGTCATGCATCTATTGATCGTTGATTCAAAGAAAAGGAAATTTGCTTCTTTCTTTTTCGTATTTGTCAGTGCCTCCAAATTCAAGGAGATAAAATATATATCTTAAGAACTACTAGAAAATGAAACAACTCTAATTAAATATAATAAAATAAAAAAATGATAATGATGACGATTATAGAACAATTTGTGTTACAAGACTGATCCAATTTTTCTATCCATTTTCATTTACAATTACCGATGACTACTCTCAAAATATTTAATTTAAAACAAGCAATAAAAAAACATGTGAATGCTGTTTCTTCTTCTCATTTACTCAATCATCATTTGAATGTAGAAAATATACAATAAAAAAAAATAATCTTTACAAATAAAATCACTGCGTACACAGTGATTCAGCAAATGATTATCATTAAATGGAGCATGATTTTTTCCTTGTCTATGCAATTAATTTAAAAAATAAAGCAAGAAAAAAAATGTAAGAAAATGAAAACATCCCGCCTTTATTTTATGTGTTTGTTTTGTTACAGAAAATTTTCATGATACTAATTTCCGATTATCATAGGTCAGTTGTTCATCGTGGAATTTTATACACACAAGACTCTGGAATTTCTCCAAGTATTATTCTCTCATGATTTAGAACATATGAAAAATGGGAGAATATCTGAGCATGTCTGAAGAGAATCCTTAAACTCTATGAAACAGCTTTGAAATTAATAAAGAAAACTTATAGCATAGCTATATAAATTTACAACTCGTGGCTTGCACGTGACTCAAAAAATTAAAACGGTTTTCAAAATTTCAAAATTTGTTCTAATTTTTTTGACTGACTGGTTTCTTTTGGCGCTGAACAATCTTTAGGATCAGATCGAGAAGAATTGTTGAATATTCGTATCGAATTTGATAAATTTTATTAATTAAAATAATTACCAAAATTAAAAATGGCTTGGGAAGGTAAAAAATACATGCTGGAAAAAAGCGAATCTTTCGATGAATATATGAGAGAGATTGGTATGGGTTTTGTATACAGAAGAGTTGCAAACTCGCTACATCCAGTGTGCTCACTCCAGAAAAATGGAGATGAATATAGCTTTCATACTGTATCAATATTCAAAACTACAGTAATAAATTTCAAGCCAGGCGAAGAATTTGAGTACGAGACAATTGATGGACGGAAAGTCATGTCAGTAATCACAATAGAAGGAAATACAATGACTCAAATTGAAAAAGGTGAAAAGGAGACTAAAATTATAAGAGAATTCTCGGATACGGAACTAGTTACCACATTGAAAGTTAATGATATTGTCGCCAAGAGATGGTATAAAGTTGCTGATTAAGCTTCATTAGAAAGGAAGGAAGATATGTCAAGATTATTGGATGCAATAAAGTTTAATTCATTTTGCTTTAAAAATTTTAAATGTTTTTTTATGAAAATATTCTGTTCTCAGGTTTTTAATAAGACATGCTTTATCATTTGTGATCACAAATCATTGAATTAGTTTTAAGCTCTGAAAAGTGCATAATCACGAAGTAAACATGATTAGAATGCATCAAAAAGTTCTTGAAGTTTCCTCATAACAAATAAAAAGCGTGTATTAAATAGAGAAAGAAGAGAGGAACTTAAGAAAGTTTTTCAAGGGTGAGAGCAGAAGAAATGATCAAGAATGAATATATTCAATGTTATTATTCTTATCAACTAGTCTGGCTTCAAACGTGGTGAGAGTAGGCAGCATTTAAGAACAAAGTGGAAATAATACTCAACATTCTTAAATTAATTTTTAAGTGATAAGACATTAATCACGTTTCATTAAAATTATATTGCAGTGTCATAAGTGCAGTCAGTGATTAATTGATTTGACTAAGTTAAATTTATTCGAGTCTAATTTGTTGATTATTGCAATATAAATTAGTGGATCACCTACATATCAAGTGCTTTAATAATCGGTCGGTTTATTAAAAGGAGATAACGTGCTTGTCACTTTGATACACTTTTGATCTTGGTGAAATTAAGCTGTGGATCTTCTATACTTTACATTTTTCCTTGTGTATCTCCAAATATTTAGAACATTAACGAGAATGTTGAAGTACGAGAATGATGGTGATACGGTTGAAGATATCAGTGACGTAAGTATTGTGAGCTATTTGATGTATGTCAGTGGAAAATCTAGTAACTTAGTTCCTTAGTAATAAACCGAAACATAAAAATAAATGTAAAGTCTCTTTCAAATCAATCAATAAAAGTTCAATTGAGTTTATTTCTCTTTGAAATATGAACTGTCTACCTGTGGTGACTACATTGTCATTAGGTAGTAAGTCGTTGAAAGAATAAAAAGTTTATAAAATTTCCTCTATTCACCCACAACGTGAATCAGATTAATATGTATGTTAAATTCAAAAGTTTCAAATTTCAGCCCGACTTTTCTTTTACCGATAGTCCATTGGAATTTATTTTGTATGTTTTCACTTCCAGTAATAAGCAATGAAATTATAAATTCCCAGTATTAATTCACATTCCGACTGCACAACAAATTGCAACAAATTCATTCATTCATTCATTTTAAAAGATAAGCTGATTGAGACTTCTCAATGATCTATTCACAGGGTTCAGATGATTATAGCGATAAAAGTGCCTTAATACCATCAAGCAGTGGAAGCGGCAAATCATATGGAACTGATAATAATGATACAGCAATTTCAATAGAAGACCGAATTGTCTATTCTTGGAAGGAAATTGATGTTTATGGAGAACAAAAAGTGCAAGCGTCATTTTGGAAGCGAATGAAGAAAAAGTTTTGCTGCTGTTGTACCGGAAATGGCAAGGAATTTATAACAAGGAAACATCTTCTCAAAAACATAAGTGGTGTTGCATACAGTGGCGAACTTTTAGCAGTTTTGGGGGCTAGTGGAGCTGGAAAGACCACTTTAATGAATTCTTTATGCTTCAGGTCTCCGCCGGGAGTTAAAATCTCTCCATCATCTATTCGAACAATTAATGGAGTTCCAGTTGACCCTGAAACTATTCGTTCTCAAAGTGCTTATGTCCAACAAGATGATCTTTTCATTGCTTCTTTGACTGCTAAGGAACATTTGACTTTCCAAGCAATGTTAAGAATGGGACGAGAAGTTCCACAGTCACAAAAAATGGCTCGCGTTAGTGAAGTTATTAATGAGTTGAGTTTGAGAAAATGTGCAAACACAATCATTGGAAGTCCTGGACGAATTAAAGGTATTTCAGGAGGTGAACGTAAACGTTTATCATTTGCTTCTGAAACATTGACTGATCCTCTTATACTTTTCTGTGATGAGGTGAGTAATATATTTATAGATAAATACTATAATGTTATCTAATTTAATACTGCCTTAATTGTTAACAGCCAACTTCCGGATTGGATTCATTCATGGCTTTGAATGTGTTACAAGTGCTTAGAAAATTGGCAGCAAAAGGAAAGACAATCATCATAACAATCCATCAACCGTCATCGGAACTTTTTTCCATGTTTGACAAGATACTACTCATTGCTGAAGGACGTACTGCGTTTCTTGGAACTCAACATCAAGCTACGGAATTTTTCGATCAGTATGTTTGACGCCAAACAAAATAGATAGTTAATTTAAATTTTATTCATATTTCGTAACTCATAAATTTTCTTTCCTTATTAGGTTGGGTCTGCCATGCCCAGTAAATTATAACCCAGCAGACTTTTTCGTACAGATTCTGGCGATAGCACCAAATAAAGAACAAGAATGTCGTACTACAATTAAGAAAATTTGTGACTCATTTGCCGTTAGTTCAATAGCTGAGGAAATTAATAATGTTGCATCCAAATTAGCTACAGATGAAGAAGTTGCAACTCGACGATTGTCAAATCGAAAGATACAGTAAGTCTAATTTATGGATGACAAATATATCATGCTAATAATCTTCTTTATTGACGCCCTTTTTAGACGTTTTAGAGCTTCGTGGTTGACACAATTTCATGCAATTACATGGCGCGCATGGCTGAGTGTATTAAAAGAGCCAATGCTTGTAAAAGTTCGATTAAGTCAGACGATTGTAAGTTTAGAGGTCACAGTGGTTATCAAGTTGAGGTCATTTTATGAATAATCTTTATGCCTTTTCAGATGGTGTCATTGTTGATCGGCGTTATCTTTTATGGACAAATTTTGGATCAAGACGGAGTGATGAATATTAATGGAGCCCTATTTCTTTTCTTGACAAACATGACTTTTCAAAACGTCTTTTCGGTTATCAATGTGAGTAATATTATGTTTTATCTCTCTTTCGTGACCATATTGTCAGCACGCCCTTATGAAGATGTAGACATAATAGTATTATAAATATTTTAGCAATGTCAAAGTTATTAATATTTATTGACTTTATTTTTAGGTATTTGCAGCTGAACAGCCTATATTTATACGAGAATCACGTGCGCGTCTTTATCAAGCAAGTTCCTACTTCATGGGAAAAACACTTGCGGAGCTGCCACTGTTCTTGTTAATTCCGATTTTATTTACTGCTATATCGTACCCAATGATAGGATTAAGAGGAGGATGGCCTTACTTTATGATTGCTATTGGAATTGTTTGTTTGATTGCAAACGTCTCAACCTCGTTTGGATATTTAATATCATGCGCAAGTTCATCAATCTCGATGGCACTGTCTATTGCTCCACCAGTAATAATCCCATTCCTAATTTTTGGAGGATTTTTCTTAAACGCAGCTTCAGTGCCTGATTATTTCAAATGGTTATCATACTTTTCATGGTTTAGATATGGAAATGAAGCACTTATGATTAATCAGTGGGACGGAATTGATGACATTATGTGTACACGTAACATTACTTGTCCGACATCTGGAGAAATTATTTTGGAAACATTTAACTTTACGGCAAGCAACTTTTGGTGGGACATTTTGGCATTAGTAGGCTTAATTGTAATACTTCGTGTTGGTGCCTATCTATTCCTCTTGTCAAAATCACGTAGCAAAGAGTAAAAACGAGACAATCAGGCGTCTACAGTCATCATCATCCATACAATTAAATTCGTAAAGACATAAAAGTCATCATGCATACATACCAATTCATTGATGCCTTTTTCTCTCTCTATCTCTCTCATTATTAATTTCTTTTCTTTCTTTAATTCACTCTTTATACCATTCCGTGTTTAAGACTTAAGTGTTACATTATACTCATGAATATTAAGCATGCAGAAATGCCGAATAACCGAATATCGAGCCACACTGTCTAGTATTTTATTATATCTTTCATTAATCTTTAAACAATTGTTAATCACTCTCTTCACATGGCCTATACACATTGCTCTTTAATTTCTTCTCATGGATTTAAATTTAAAGAAGAAATGGACAAGAAAATAAGAAGAAGAAGGAATGACAACAAGAAAACTGGAAAGACGAAAATATTGCATAATACTTTATCATAGGCTCGGTTAATGAGAAACAAAAAGTGAAAATATTAGTTCAGTAACCTACTTTATTTACTTCTGACTTTGACATAAGAGGGACTTGTTAAAAAATATTAATATTGATAACAGACATCACTTCTTATTGGACAATTTTGTAATCCTCTTGTTTCTGAATTTCCCAAGGTATGTCAACTTTATTGACTGACTTTAGCTCTCTCAGATGTTTAATTTTTGCGTTTTGAATTTTGAGGCTCCTTCCTAAAATGTTTCATATTCAACCCTCGATAAAACGCGAACTAAACTGTTAAACGATCTATTATTAGGTTGGTATGGAACTTAAAAATGTTGAATTTCCTTAGATTAATCAGAAGATAAATTTAAATTTTCTTTACTCAATGTTTTTATTGTCTCTAAAATATTGTAAATCAAAAATATTTTGTCATAATTATGTCGCATCATATAATAAATAGCGAATAAGCATTTGAATCAAACATAAATTATTTTATTGCCTTTCATGAAACAGTATATCCCAAAAAAATTCATATTTTTCATGCTAATTTAGTGCACGTGTAACCGGTAATATTTTATCATCTCGTATACATTAGAAAACTTGATCCAGCATTAAAATGATACCAAATATAGTAAAATAAAATCGTTTCATGGTAGGAGGAGGAAGAAGCAGACAGCACACATAAAAATTATGTCACTGAAATATGGAAATGCGGAAAGATTGGCAAATTGATTGGTTTTTGTCACATATTTAATTGGTTTTATTGGAATTTATTATGTTGATGTTAAGCATTAAGAGAATAACATCAACAATGGTTTGGAATAATAAATAGACTAGATGATCACTTGCTACACAAACGAACATGATTTAATTAAGTTATTAAATTTACTCTCAATGATAATGAAACAATGTTTGTAGCTTCAAGGATCGTCATTACATTGAAGATTATTTTTTTGCACTTATCATTCACTAGCCTCTATGGCTTCATTTTTTTCCTCATAGCTTAAAGTCGAGAAATCGTGAAATGAGGACCTTTGATTCACTTACAATCAGGAAGTTTTAAATTGCGGGTTTTTTTGAAGGAAAAGCAAACAACTTTTTAAGGCATTTAAAGTGTTTTGCCAATTAACGCATTGTACTTACTTGATGTCATGTAATCAAATGAAACATGTGTCTGTCGAAGGTATATTGAGATGTTTATATAAACAAATTCCATGAAGTTCATTTCCATTTGTGATTATATTATTAAAATTTACTTAAAGAACTGATCTTGTCAACAGTAATTAATTATGTGATTTTACTTCAGGTCATTATGGTTTTATTTGGTCAAAAGAGTTTTTGAACTTTGGTTGCAACCGGCTATGAGTTCACACGGTATTATTGGTTGGTATTAAATACTGGAGGGTATTAAATTGACAAGAATTTTATAGATTTACCAATTATGATTTTTGTCTGAAGAATTATGGATTGCCTGTAATATTCGAAGACGAAGTACATCCATAAAATCACTTAATTCGGCAAGTTTTTTTATATACTTTGTTGCTTCAGTCATTCACAACTCATCAAATTTTAATTAAATGTTAAGTTTATGGCAACAATTAAATTTTTTCGTGAAGCTTATTAAGTAAGGAAATTAATCTGTGTTTATGTTCAGTTATCAAAGGTTTAATTAAAACATAAATACACCTACAGTCCATTTACTCTTTTTGTACGAAACTCAAAATGATCACTGAAGATTTAAAAAACTCATTTACGTGCTTCTCATGCCTTTGTACAAATTTGGCGTGGTATCAAATAAATAAGAAGACACTTCAGGGTTCTTTGACACACCACAAAAGCCAGTCAATTTTCTTCCGGGTATGATTCGATTGTTTATGCGGTTTCATGGATAAATCACTTTATGATGAATTTCAAAACTTCTCAAAATACTCTTTAAGGAGGCATTTTTGCACAGATCTACTTATTAAATTTACAACTTACACATAATTTTCGAAATGTCAATGACACTCAGTGCAAAAGTAAAGAAATTTCACGCATGTCATCGGTTTTTCAAAACTTATGCAAATAAAATTAATACAACAGCCAAATAATGTGACGAAATCTCATTCATAATCGTTATTCAAAAAGAAAAATCTTTAAATTTAAATTTTAAAAGAATTTTTCTAGATTGGTCCTTCAAAAAATTTATTCAAATCACGAACCCCCCAAGCAGTGGTAATAAAAATCACGTATATAGCTTGAATGTCAGCAAAGAAGAAAGAGAATCAATTATGTTGATGTGATAATTCACATATCGTTTCATTTCTGATTATTTAATTCCATACCTTATTTTTACTTCTTCTTCTTCTTCTTTACATTTCCATTTTTGTTCAACATTTCTTTTGTCCATACATTAAATCCGGTAATCACATCACATCATTTTTCGGCAGCGTGGAATAGTAGGATTGTGGGTCAATCAGTGGTTACATAATTGCTAAGCATTAAATAAATTTCACTTTTTACATGGGAACAGCATAAATACGCATGTATGAATGTCAAACATGGTGACGTTTTAGAGTAGATTGACATATATTTTGAAAATGTAAAGCATACTCAACATAAATAGTCAAATATTACACAATGCTATGCATATGATGACGTTTTGGAATTGTGCCAAGTGATGACATGAAAACTTGTTAGGCATATATCTGATCACGAATTGTTTCGAAACAATTGATCAGTGCGCATCGAATGTGATGCGCAAATTTAATAATATGATGAATTTTAATGAATAAAAAGCTATTGCAATTTTTTTTTGGTAACTAAAAAGGTCTTTTTTTATTCTCATACAAAAAAGGTAAAAAACAATTCATGTGCTGTGGAACAGTGTGAATTTCTTGCTTACTTATTTCCATCTTGCATTTATCTATCTGTTATCAATTGATTCTATTTTTTTGATTTTTCATTCTTTTTTCTTTAAATAATAAAATTATAAAAGAGTTTTGGCTTAATACTGTAAAAATAGTTGAACTTGGAAAAAGTTTAGGAAATGTTGATGACTAGGAAGGGCATCGATTATTTCCATTTAATTTATCCAAGGAGCAATTTCTTCTTGAGCAAAAGTTTCTTCAACAACAATTTCTTGAGGATTTCTTGGTCGTCTGATGGGTGGAAGTTGTCAACTGAGTCTCCAACGACTGATTCATCGACTGGGATGGCTACAACGTAGGCAATAGCGATGAGGACGAACAAGGCCTGTGGAGATAATAAAAATTTGTGAATTAGTATTTTTTCAACGATTTCTTGACTGTGTGTCATTGGGAATTCTTTAATGTTCGCAAATAACATCGACATGTGACATTATTCTTAATCCGTGCTTCGTGTATTATGTCGAGAATATCAATTATTTTCATAATATACATGGAAACTGCTAACAAGTTTAATGACTATTAATCTCTTATTTAATTGTATAATTGAACACTTCATTGATGCCATTTAACATTTTTTTCTTATGATTAATGCTCTCCATGCTCATTTATTCAATTAATCCACATTATTTGATTATTCACAATTTTTTTTTTGTACTTTAATAATGTCTTTGTTTCCATTTAATTATTTTTTTTTTGTACTCTTATAGCCATTATCACTTAACACGGATTTTAGTGCTGCAAAATGTCACTTTTCAATATTTAGCTTTGTAAATTTGCGAATCACGTAATTAATTTCATATTTTTTAAATTTGAATGTTTGTTGAATTTCATTAAATTTTGTTGGAACTTAAACATACCAAAAGAACGTATTTCATTTTGATAATTTTTTGTTTTATTTATTTTTTGTCACTAGGAAGACGTTTGCTCAATTGTGAGTGCTTTGTGAAACTGATGATTTGAAGACAGACTGATCGGGTATTTATATGAATTTTGAGCATGAAACGATTTACAGCGATCTTCTATTTCACACTATCCATCGTACATCGCACACCGCACCGTGTGTGCACAATTGCCCTTACACACAAGTACACAATCAGCTTTTCCTTCTTCTTCTTATTCATCTTTTTGCTTTATTTTGCTGTTCGCATTTTTCGGGTTTACGTTGAGACAGAGAGAAAAGACAGCATCAGATAATGTTGGATTGCAGTACGTTTGTTGGAAAAAGTTTAAGCTGTAAAACAAAGCACAAAATACACAATATATCAATGATGATAAATAAATTTAAATGTGTGCCTATCACACCAATATTATCTATTTGACTTTTCAGTATTAATCGATAATGTAAAGAGGAAAAAAAAATTATTGTGTCGCAAAACCTCATAAATCTATCATTCAGAGATGCATGAGATTCATTCATAAAAAATTTCCGGCGAGATTTTTAAGTCACTCGATTTTTGGCATGTAATCATTGACCATTGACCATTGAATTAATTGTGATTATGTCATACAAGTGCGATGATGTTGTTTTTAAAGGTATGACATAAAAATTCATGCATAAAATAAAATTGTAGTACACGAGCATTCTTACATAAATTCAGTCTTTGGTGAATCCACATTTCCTACATATCGGAGAAGCGCAGGCTTTATTTTGTAATGTTTTTGGAGATTTTTTTTTCTTTCTTAATTATCTCGCAAATCTTTTTTAAACAGCAATTAATTCTTGGTTTTATTGATTGAATATCAAGTTGCGAAAATTAATGCTGTATCCCAATTAAGCATTGCGATAAAAATTACTTTAAAAACTTAATTTTTTGTTACGGAAATCAAGAGATAAATTCCAATAAAATTCAATGCCAAATTTATAAATTATTAAAGCATAAATTGTCACGTGATATTATATGCCTATATGAATCCTGTTCTGATGAGATTGATAAGCTGATAATCCGTTATTATGGCTTCATATAAATTTTATTGGTTTTACCCGATTTTACATATTAATCAGGAGTTAAAAAACCTGTTTGATTCATCAAATTAAACCGCAACATACAAACATTAACGTTAAGATGAATAATAGTAACTAGTTGACTTCATACTGATCTTCCTTTGCTTCTATTATTTTTTAGACCTCCAAAGAGTGAACATCTTGCTCATAGTTGTCCATTATTGAATTAATGATAAAGTCTAAAAGTTTAAAGTCAATGAACTAAAATTCAAATAAACCAGCCGGTTGCAACATGAATAAGTAGCAAATTACAAAAAACTTTTTGAAGGTTTAAAAACGGAAACATTTTGGTTTTATAAAAAGATCGCCTCAAATAATATTAAGCTGCGATTTCAGCAAAGGAAATATTATTTAAGTGTTTTGGAAGTTCAATGATCCAAAAATATTTAAAAAAATACAGCAAATCAAGGATTTTAAAAATACTTCATTGATTTATTTGACAACTCATGTGACGAAGATTGAAAATTTTGTAATCCAAGCAATTCACAGCTTTCAAAGTTGGACAAAGTCTAAAATTATTCATAATTCACAAGTTTAAGAGCCCTTGAAAAGAAGTTTCATTGACAATAACCCAAATTTTATGAAAAAGCTTGTAGATTTAATTTAATTTGGGATTTTTCGATTGCCACGTATCTAGATACTGAAGAACTTAACACATTCGAAATTAAAAATGCTGATCTAAACAATATGAAAAAGACTTCCGATAAATTTATTTAAACATGTGAATTCCATTTTAATCATAACTTGAAGCTATTAATAACTTTATTAAACAGTTGGATGATGAAATAAACACAATTCTAATTCCATTCGAGTGCTGTAAAAAAATCCACAATCGAGATGCTAATCATCTCACTTTTAGCGCATTTTATGACTGAGGATACATCCATTTGAAGCATCACATGAATATTTGTCACATGAATATAGCTTCGCGTGATCCAGTCGTTTGGATAACTTTTACTAAATGTTTATTCATGTGATTGCATATAAAATATGAGGAACAGAAATTCGAAAGACATTTTAATAATTATCAGCAAATTTATTTATTTATCAAGTCAAGAGGATGATGACATTTGAACTGAAAGATACATATTTTAAAAGCTTACAACAATATCTGTGAATTACTTTAAATTATTCAATTTAAATTAGATGTAATGAAATAATAAGGCACAATCATACAAAATTAAGAATAACATGTTAATGAAGACTGAATAAGAAGAATCCAATTGGCCACTTAATTTGAATAGATCAATAAGTTTCACGTGAATAATAATAATAATAATAAGAAGAAGACATCTGCTGTTTTTTGTTTCTTGCCTATAAAAAAATTCCTTTACAAACATCGACTTAAATGGTCTCGACGAGATATATATTTTTGATATACTGGAAATACCATCATTTATTTATTTATTTATCTAAATTTATGTTGTTTTTAAAGCAACTTGTTGCTAAATTTTGCTGGGAAAATACAGATAATTCCCAAATCCCGTGTCCTTAAACATTCAAATTTTTATAGGTTTGCTTTTATAAAATTGTGTATTTAAAAAGATTTCAAAAAGAAACGAATTCTGCATAACATCTGTTTAGCTTGTTGAAAATGAGCAAATAAAACGAAAAATTCTACATGGTTCTACACAAACTCTTCACAGAATTACTAATTTATGAATCATTCAGACAATATTATTTTAGTAAATTCCTGTAAATTCTTTCTTGGGTATTTGACGTTAAAAAGAGAAAAATAAATGTTTTTCGTTATTCATAAGGTTGGATTGGATATACAATAACTAGATCTATTCTATTAAAATAAATTAGATAAATAATTTTCAAAAAAAGTTCTGTAGTTACATACATATTTACACATGCAGAATGCTTTTATTTGAATTGCTATTTATATTTTAATTTCGTTTTCTTTCGTTCAATTGTTTAAGCCTGTTGGGATTTGAACCTTGAACTGCATATTTTCAATGATTTAAAAATTTGAATTATAAATAAGTCTTTGATTAGAGTTCGACAATTTTTCTTGATAATACAACAATTTTGTTAAGATTAATTTATGGCATATTTTTTAATTATTTTCAGCATGATTGATCATCAAAACTTCAACTAAGAGAGTTTATTTTGAGAAAATTTTGAAAAATTCTTTGTTTTAATTCAAAACTCCATAGTTCAAGCAAAATCATACAAAAATTAAATTTACACTCAATAACACAAATTTATGATTAGCATGACCTGGAGGAATGTCTAGTTGAGAAAAGTTATCTACAATTTTTGTTAAGTTTTAATCGTTCATGTATATGTCAAATGGAACATTTCATATTTTACAGCTACAAAAACATATTTGCAAAAATTAACAACTCAGCTGCTGCTAATTTGTCTTTCTCTCCTCTTTTATTGCCATTCATCTCTTTCTTTTGTTGAATAATTTTTTTATTATCGCTTTTAAGCTTTTGTGCGACCATAACGATCAATTGATTTTCTCTTCGTACGTTCCAAAATTGATGCGTTAGATAATTAATTTTTCTTCTTTTTCTTTTGTCTTATTTCAAAAGAGCTTAATAAATTATGAATGAAAGAAATGAATTTATGACATATTAAACTAGTGTATCGGGTAGAAACCCAATGCGGATATATTCACACCGTACCATCAAAAGTCTTATGGATAGACCAAGATTTGCCCAGACCCATATCGACACAGTTCAAAAGTTATACCTAATTTATGTTATAATTATGTCAGCTACAAAAACACTTAGTTTGAATATTGTCACCCTCGGGAACACTATGAACCAGTATAGATGATTTTGGTCCAAATCTCGGCCATACTTCACACTTATTTCCCGAGCGACACAATTTGACGATGACGATCAAATGATCGTCATATGAGCGTCTTCGTCATGACGATGATGATTTTACGACGATTTTTTTTTCTAAAATATTATGACGATCATATGACGATCATATGACGATCATATGACGATCAAATGAAAGTCATGAATGGCGATAATTTTTGATTTTCTTCCAATTTCGATTGTATTTTTTGCTTAAACTTTTTTCTTTGAACTGTTTTTGCACTGTAAAAACTGATAATTATTTTCTGAATGGAATTTCGATGATTGAACAAAATTTTTTGAATTACTGAATTATTTTTTTGAGATTTTGTAAATGAGCTTTCATTCAATGTATGCTCACTGATTTCTAACGAATTTTGAATGCAAAAATAGATATGCTTATCATCAAAATGATCTTCAAAATGATTGCAAAATTTGACATAAAATTATCAATGGTAATCAAAGTTACCATTTTTTAAATTCACACCGTTTTCACGTGTGAATCTATTGGTTTTGTTCAGATTGAAAAATAAGTTTTTAGAATTTTGTGAGGATATGGAGCAAGATAGCTTAAAATGTTCAGACATGAACAGTTTGTGCCTGGAATTTTACATCACCTTCAAAAAACACATTTCAAATTGGTTGTGGCATTGCTGAGAAAATCGCAAAATACGCTTTCTGTAAGCAAGCAAACAAGCAAACAAGCAAACAAGAAAGAAATCTCAATAACGAGACATCGTAGAGACTTCTAGTTTTTTACATTTGATCCGTGCTGCTCTATACAAGAGCTGTATTGTTTTTAGGCAAGGTAGGAACAGCCGTTGCTTCAGAAAAACAAAAAACTTTCCTTTCTTATGAATTTTTCAAAACAAAAGTTCACTGTGATTTTTATAATATATAGTATACGAATGTTTGGGATATTCGTCAAACTTTATACCTTCAAACTTATACTAAGCGAAGCTCAGCTGACTCGATAGCTTTATAACTTCAAACTTATGCTGAGCGAAGTTGACTTATCAAGCTTCATACATTCATACTTATGATGGGCAAATCTTGGTCTATCCATAAGACTTTGATAGTACGGTTTAAATATAATCCGCATTGGGTTTCTACCCGATACACTAGTTTGGGTGAAAATTTTGTTTTCTTCATTTGTGTTCGAGAAGTTGAAGTGAGAAGAAGGAAAATTATATTCAATCCTTTTTAAAAGTTTTTAAGCTGATTTACCTGGAACTTACAGCTCAGCGGAAGATGCTTCAACAGCCGTCAAAATTTATTTAAATCGACGAAGAGAAAATCAAGCTAAGCAATTGAAGTTGACTAATCAAAACCGATTTAACGACGAGGAAAATCAAGAAAATGAGTGAAAAAATCAAGAATATCAATAGTCTATCATTATTAATCCATCATTATTATCAAGCCATTGTTATTATCATTAATCCTAAATCATTATATTATTATGTTGTATGTTAAATGTAATGGCCTATGTTTATAATTTAAAATATATATAATTAAGAGTTATTCTACACAAATTAACACGTTTTTCGTTAAATTTTAAAAAATTATTTCAGTCAAAATTCAGCATATATATCACGGTTTATGCTCGTCGTCTCGCCATAGTAATTTTGTCATTTGATCGTCATATGATCATCAATTGACGTTTTCATTTGATCGTCGAGTGACGAATTTTTCGTCAAATGACCATCATATGGGGTCATAAATCGAATCGAGACGATGTCGTGATGACGTCTTATCATCATATGACGATCATATGATCGTCATTCATGACGTCTTTATGACGATGACGGCTGTCATATGACAATCATATGACCGTCATATGACGCTTGTGTGCCGCTCGGGTTTGAACCACATTTTCTCGTAAATTATAAAATATTATTAAAATGTAATTAATCATGAATTATGTCGCTAATTTTTCAAGTGTTTTAAGATAAAGAATTTGTTTTTTGGTTTCCACAGTGAAGAGTATGAACAAAATTCAGATGGGGTAGTCGAAATTTTAGATTTCGATTTTTTTTAAGCTATGCATTACAAATAGTAATGTTGGTATGTGATTTATGTCAATTCAAATAAAACATTCTTAAATTTTTTTGAGCAAAGAACCAAGTAGGAAATACATTTTCAATTTTGGACTAGGGGCGACCCTAGTCAAAATCAATTTTGTCACTTTTTTCTTCGAGGGTTTATCCAAATGGATTGAAACTTTGCATAAATATTCTAGTGCTTAAAACAAATACAAATAAAACATTCTAAAATTTTTTTGAGCAAAGAACCAAGTAGGAAATACATTTTCAATTTTGGACTAGGGGCGACCCTAGTCAAAATCAATTTTGTCACTTTTTTCTTCGAGGGTTTATTCAAATAGATAAAAACTTTGCATAAATATTCTAATGCTTAAAACAAATACAAATAAAACATCTTAAAATTTTTTTGAGCAAAGAACCAAGTAGGAAATACATTTTCAAATATGAACTTGGGACAGGTCTAGTCAAAATCTAGTTTTTCACTTTTTTTTCTTCGAGGATAAATCCAAATACAGTAAAACTTTGTATGAGCATTCTAATCCTCAGGTCACACATTTCTGAATTAATAAAAATCATTTTTTTGGACCAAATTTTAAGTCACATTGTTTTTGAATGTACGACCAAATTTATAAAATTTGGGTCTGACGATATATAGAATACATTTCTTGCAAAGTTTAAATCCATTTGGATAAACCCTCGAAGAAAAAAGTGACAAAATTGATTTTGACTAGGGTCGCCCCTAGTTCATAATTGAAAATGTATTTCCTGCTTGGTTCTTTGCTCAAAAAACATTTTAAGATGTTTTATTTGTATTTGTTTTAAGCACTAGAATATTTATGCAAAGTTTCAATTAATTTGGATAAACCCACGAAGAAAAAAGTGACAAAATTGATTTTGACTAGGGTCGCCCTAGTCCAAAATTGAAAATGTATTTCCTACTTGGTTCTTTGGTCAAAAAAATTTTAAAATGTTTTATTTGTATTTGTTTTAAGCACTTAAATATTTATGCAAAGTTTTAATCCATTTGTATAAACCCTCGAAGAAAAAAGTGACAAAATTGATTTTGACTAGGGTCGCCCCTAGTCCATAATTGAAAATGTATTTACTGCTTGGTTCTTTGCTCAAAAAAAATTTAGGATGTTTTATTTGTATTTGTTTTAAGCGTTAAAATATTCATGCAAAGTTTTAATCATTTTGTATAAACCCTCGAAGAAAGAAATGACAAAATTGATTTTGACTAGGGTCGCCCCTAGTTCATAATTGAAAATGTATTTCCTGCTTGGTTCTTTGCTCAAAAAAATTTTAGGATGTTTTATTTGTATTTGTTTTAAACACTAGGATATTTATGCAAAGTTTCAATCCATTTGTATAAACCCTCGAAGAAAGAAGTGACAAAATTGATTTTGACTAGGGTCGCCCCTAGTTCATAATTGAAAATGTATTTCCTGCTTGGTTCTTTGCTCAAAAAAATTTTAAGATGTTTTATTTGTATTTCTTTAAGCACTAGAATATTTATGCAAAATTTCAATCCATTTGTATAAACCCTCGAAGAAAGAAGTGACAAAATTGATTTTGACTAGGGTCGCCCCTAGTTCATAATTGAAAATGTATTTCCTGCTTGGTTCTTTGCTCAAAAAAAATTTAAGATGTTTTATTTGTATTTCTTTAAGCACTAGAATATTTATGCAAAATTTCAATCCATTTGGATAAACCCTCGAAGAAAAAAGTGAAAAAATTGATTTTGACTAGGGTCGCCCCTAGTCCAAAATTGAAAATGTATTTCCTGCTTGGTTCTTTGCTCAAAAAAATTTTAAGATGTTTTATTTGTATTTCTTTAAGCACTAGAATATTTATGCAAAATTTCAATCCATTTGGATAAACCCTCGAAGAAAAAAGTGAAAAAATTGATTTTGACTAGGGTCGCCCCTAGTCCAAAATTGAAAATGTATTTCCTGCTTGGTTCTTTGCTCAAAAAAATTTTAAGATGTTTTATTTGTATTTCTTTAAGCACTAGAATATTTATGCAAAATTTCAATCCATTTGGATAAACCCTCGAAGAAAAAAGTGAAAAAATTGATTTTGACTAGGGTCGCCCCTAGTCCAAAATTGAAAATGTATTTCCTGCTTGGTTCTTTGCTCAAAAAAATTTTAAGATGTTTTATTTGTATTTCTTTAAGCACTAGAATATTTATGCAAAATTTCAATCCATTTGGATAAACCCTCGAAGAAAAAAGTGAAAAAATTGATTTTGACTAGGGTCGCCCCTAGTCCAAAATTGAAAATGTATTTCCTACTTGGTTCTTTGCTCAAAAATACTTTTTTATCCAAAGTTTAATTTTAAAAAAATCACAGTGAACTTTTAGTTTGAAAAATTCGTAAGAAAGGAAAGTTTTTTGCTTTTTCTGAAGCAACGGCTGTTCCTCCCTTGCCTAAAAACAATACAGCTCTTCTATAGAGCAGCACGGATCAAATGTAAAAAACTAGAAGTCCCTACAATGTCTCGTTATTGAGATTTCTTGCTGATTAACTTGCTTGTTTGCTTGCTTGCTTGTTTGCTTACAGAAAGCATATTTTGCGATTTTCTCAGCAATGCCCCAACCAAATCTGTTTTTGCAAAAGATGCGAAATTCAAGGCACAAACTTTTCATCTCTGAACATTTTAAGCTATCTTGCTCAATATCCTCACAAAATTCAAAAAAATAATTTTTCAATCTGAACAAAACCAATAGATTCACATGTGAAAACGGTGTGAATATAAAAAAAATCACACATTTATAGGTTTGGTGATGTAGCATCCAGGTAATTATTACTCTTTATTATTACTATTATTTTATTGTATAATTAATTTTAAATTTATTTACATAAGGTTGTTCATGGCAACATTTTCATTATTGAAATTATTGAAAAACTCGGAAAAATTAAAAATGTAAAATTTTGAAATTTGTCATGCTGCTTATGTTAACTGTATTGAATGACGCGGTTAGCTTCCTACTTTCCAAGAATTTTTTTCAAAGCCTTCACTTTCAGAATAATAAGCTTCTTCTTGATGAGCTTCTTGCTGAATTCGCTATCGTCTGATGGATGGAATGCATCAACATTATCACTGATGATTTGTTCATCAGCTGGTGCTGGTGCTGCATTGACGTATGCAATAGCGAAGAGACATACCAACAAAGCCTGAAAATATCCATACAAAGTTATTTTTCACACTCAAAAAGGGTGCGACTTATTTAATGACTCTCAAAGTGAATCGTTCATTAGAAATAAATCAAACATAAATGTGACAAATGTTGTGTCATTATGAGGAGGGAATCTGAATTTTTTTAAACTTTATATTGGAAATTTGATATTTTTTGCATTTTTAAACTTGGATATAAATTTTTATAAGTTTTATGTCCAAAAAGTTTTCGTTTTACACATTTATGACATTTTTTTAAATCTTTTCGTATCAGTTTTAAAATTTTCAGCATTTATGATCCACGATAGTTATTTCCATAATAGGACACATTAGCATCTATGCTCTCAAAAAGCATAATTTATTTCATCACATTTTTATTATGAAATTCACATTTTTTGATTGATTTATTTCATTATATAATAATTATCACTTGACATGATTTATATCCATCAATAATCAAATGATTTTGACAATCAGCTTTTAGACTTAAATAGTCAGTTAAGTTAGATGTAAAAATCATCAGTTTATTGAGCATATTAATTCTTAATATGAGATCCAGCACGTACCAAAACAATAACAACACGCATTTTGCTTAATTTAATTTTTTTGATTCTTTAAATACTTCTGAACGATTAGACTTTAAAGTTTGAACTGACTTATTCTTGAGAATTCATTGGCTTTTATATGCAATCAACAAAGCTTCTTACTCCTAAGTTTTATCTGGTTTTAATTTTTGGCGGAAGAAAAATTTCTGCATACATCGATGTTTTAGAAACAAAGCCTCCAGACAATAAGCATATTTGAGAATAATCATGTGACGAGGAAAAGTTGTCGTCCATCAAATTGGCATTACATTCACTAGTTTGTGTAGTGAATCTTTCATTGAGTTAAGATCTTCTTTTTCTTTACAAACTTATCTAAATAATAGTGATCTTGAAAGAATATGCAGAACGCATCTTCAAGTATCGTCTTGCCATAGATATTAGTACTCGAGATTATTGCCACCTTTCACTTTGAATGCCGCTTAAAATGCCTTCATTTTTTTAAGATTAAGTAGGGGCCAACATTCTTAAGCACTGACATCAGTGGCGTAGCAACTCAATTGTCAAAAAACTAGCCAAAAAATTTTGGAATTGATCTAATGCTTAATTGGACAACTCTCAAAATGATGTCCCAGTTATATTTCATTAACGGCACTACTGCACTGGCTAAACTAGCACAGCAACAGAATATTTATTTTTTTCTTAAGAATTCTTTCGTAACGCATCGATAAACATCATCGTTTTTTTTTTTGCAAACATGTACGCAAACTTCCTTAATATTTGCTCTTTGGTTGCCAATAAAAAAAAAATCGATAGATTCTTTTTCAAATGTACAATTTTTGGTATTAAAATCAATCACAATTATGAGCACTTCTGATCCTATTGTATCCATGATATTCATGTTTTTTTTTGAAGACTTGCTAGAATAAGAAGTGAGGATTTCATTGTAGCTATTCAGCAACTAAGATTCACAAATACACGGAGAGGAAATTTGTAGATTTTATTCATCACGTGACTGCATTTCGCACATAAAAAATTATTTTCATTAACCAGAAGAGGCCATTAACAGGTTTTTTTTGCAAACAGTTTACAATTTTTGATTACTTCCTAAATCAACTCTTGGTAAAATTGCAGATGCATAGAGTTGTCATTAATTGATATATTCACTTAAAATATGAATGAATGAGTAACCGTGTACATGAGTTGCATTTTTTGTGGTCATCCTATGAATGATGGAGATGAACTCGAAACATCTTTTTGAAAATGGTCAAAATTGGCTCCGTACAGTCAATCTATATGACGTATGTTCTTTGGACAGCATGGTAATTTTTTGAAAACACATTAAGTTGAATATTTAATGTCATCTTGTGCCGACAAAAGCGAATGAAAGTTCATTTTTCGTTGGTCGTGATGCAAATAAAATCACATTCACAATGATATGTCAAGCAAATGATATGGTTCGATGAATGAAAAAATAACTCAATACAAGAAAAGTGTAAAAATAAATATTTTTTCAAGTAAATAAATTATTAGCTTTATTGCTCAAAAAAAAGGTATTATTCGCTAACATCTTACATAAGTACAGTCTTTAATCTTTTTATGATAATAAGGTTGCAAATATTCTTAATAATCTTGAAAAATCGCTTCCTTGTTGGTTCCTTCTGTTGATTTGTTGCTCATAGTTAATAACTCTTGGGTCTTGGATAGTTTCACCTCGTGCAGTGCCTTCATTTAGTCCACCAAGTAATCGTCCAGCAATAGAAACTAAGTCTGCTGCATTAATTTGTGGTCCTTGTGCTGGATTTCCGTCTGTTAAAAGATATCTTATGAAGTAATCGATCAATTGAGCTGGATTGATTTGTGGTTGTGCTTGAATAACATCTTCATTTCCTCCAATTAGTCCAGGAACAATTGGAACTGCGATGGATGTTGACACAATGGCAAATAAAAGAATCTGAAAGATTTAGAATGAAACTTTAAAGATTGTCATTTGGACATTCTGTAGGAAATAATTACCACAATTGTAGAATGCATATTTAATGAATTTTTGGTGACTGTACTCTTACGAAATAAAGCTGTTAATGCAAGAATGAACTCAAATAGCTCAGTTTTATATGCAACAAAATTTTCAATCAGCTGACACGGAAGCGACTACATCTTCTATTGGCAAGGCATTCTTTTAAACAATTTCCGATTAGAGAGGTCCCAATGAACTGCAAGGCTATCACAAAAGTGTTTTTGAATGCTTTCGGATTTTTTTGCTGTACCTGATTGTGCTAAAATTTAATTAGCGTATTTGTGACATTAAATGTTAATCTTGGATTCTTCTTATTTTAACAACATAAAGCTGATCACCTCATCAGCAAATTATTGTGGCACCAAATGTTTTTAAAGAATTTCCCTTTCATTAAAAATGCTTTAAGGTCTTCGACGAGATCATGAATCATATGACAAAGACGCTGTAAAATAAACTTAAAAGCTATTAAACCTTAGATATGAAGAGTATAATGAACGCTTAATGTAAGAGTAAAAGTTTCTAATTATTTGATCTCAATTGAAAAGAAGACACACATGCTGTAACAATTCTCATTTATTTTATCACATGCACAGATACCTACACTTGTAAAATTTGTTGAAATATATACAGCACTAAAATTATAAACAAATGAGTGACTTTCCACAAATGAGTACTTTTCTCTAGAAGTAGAAACTATATCAAGAAGCTGAAAAATACTCATTGTTCCAACTCGTTGATTTGTTTATGATGACAGACTTAGTCGGATAGGTATGATGCATTTGTCTTATTGCTTCAGTTTACTTTTACACATGGAAGTGCTTAGACAACATAATGTATCCAAATTTTTCCGAATTCGGTTTGTACAGGTGAGATTTTAATACTTTGTTAAACTTTCAAAATTTCACTAAAATTTGTGCAAACTATGGATCAATTTAGATATGATAGCAAAAATAAGCAGCGTAGTCGAAATGGTGGATTATTTTCTTCAATTATCGTCTATGGCATTCTAGCCATGACAATAGTCTTTGGTGGACTATTTTATGTTTTTGTTTATGGTCGAGCCAATGAGACTAATAGCAATAGCACTTTTAATAAGACTAGAACTTCAAATATCACACTGAAGTATGTAGAATCAAATGACACAGATACAAATAAAGGATTAGAAGTGATTGAAATATCTGGTAAGAACTATTCAGAATCACATGTCAAACGTATAAAACGATTAGATAGTGAAGATGTTTCAGCCAATATGTCACCTGAAACTCAACGACTCACATTTTTTCCTACTCGATCGTTAAAACCACCAAGAATTGTACAAAAACCGAAAGTTATTCAGTACCCACCTCTTCCGCCTAATCACAAGATTTCATCTCGAAGATTAGATCCTCGAGTTTATCAATTTGGAACGATGCAGCCAATACCACATGAATTTTTAAGACCACCCACACCAGGAACTTTTTATGGAAGTCAAGTGCATAATATTCAAGACATAATAAATCAAAATCCACAATATCAACAACACAATTATTATCCTTTGGTGGGAGCTCAACAAGTTTTAACAACGGCAAAAGAAATGATGGGAACAAAGCCTATACAACTAGCTGGAAGCTACAGACATCCACGAACAAATCAAAATTTAGCACAAATTTTTCAACAAAGTAAACCACAAACATTAAAAGCTGAAGCATCAGATCCATTCCAAAATTATAAGCCAATATCACCATACGAAGTGAATCAAATGTTGAATCAGCATGCTAATGATGAGCACGTAAAGTATATGAGCACAACATCAGAGACACCGTATTTTCGTAGAAAGTTTAAAAAGAAAATAGCTTCTAGTAATAATTACAATGTTCATGCAAACGACGCTGCGAATATTTATGGTAATGGTTTGCAGACTGTTAAAAAACGTGTGCAAGATAGAAATGAGATTCAGCATCAAGGTAAACCATTTTCTGTTATGCTAGACGTTTATCCAATGCCTGGTGAAGACAATGAGTATGGTCAACCATACATTCATGTTCCAAATTTAAAAAGGCTTAAACCACTCATGAATCGCTATTATCAAGATCCACAAATGTTCAATTCAATGAATTTTCCACAAGTAATGGCACGGTATCCAGCTTACTTTCGCTATCAAAACAATGCTAAACAACAACAGCTGCAAAAGCAACAACAGCAATCAAGTACAAGCTTTGGAACAATTCAGTCTAACGGAATGTCTAAACCGAGTCAACTAGTTGTGCATCTAAATCTTTATCCGAAGAATAATTCACCCACATTTAAAAGATCTTCATCCGAGGATTTTAATGGAGGGCAAGAAACCCAGAATAAATTTCAAAGACAATCTAAATTACATTTAAGCACCATAAAAAATCAAACAATCGATGTGTCATCTACACCATTTAATATAAATTTCAATGTTAATACTGGAAATGGTCATCCAGAGAATATAGCGCATCAGAAACAATTGGAATTTAACCGAACATCTACAGAAGCGACATTGGCTAGTAATAACTACTTTTATGATGATGAGGAAGAAGAAGATATAAACGCAGATCAAAGTGTAAATGCTCATCCATCAATCGTTTATAAAGATATTTATCGAGATAAGCCAATTCATTTGATGCTGAAAAGCACAACAGCATCAACTAAAAAGCCTAAAAGTAATAAGAATTCAAATAACAATAATAATGATGATCATAACTTCAACAACAACAACAACAATAGTAACAATAATGTTATTAAAGGCAAGAAAACGAAAAGCATAAAATTTCATTACCAAACTCTTAACAGGCCGACTACAAAGTATGCAAATGTTATAAGACCTAAATCATCATTCGGACCATTTTATTAATAAGTAAATTTGTTTTTAAGTAAGACTTACATTGTTATTGACCATTGTTTGATGATAATAAAGTAAGAAAACTGTTCTGATGCTTAAGCTAATTACTTAATGCTTTTGTTAATATTTTTTATAAGCTATTATAGTCACTAATGACTGAACAAGCTTAAAAATAAATAGGTTATTTTTCAGAACAAATCTCAAAGGATACAGAACGACATGTTAAGGCAATCATCAGCACCCCAAATTTTTTGTCATCATTTAGTCACTTTTGCATCATTAGCAGCCAGTCATAACATACCGTGTTGACATATATCACTTATCATATATGCCTTCCGTCATTCAAATTCAGGAGTGGTACGTCTCAAATATCCTCATGTGATTTAAAAAAATATATAGGACATTTAGTTTAATGTTGTGGTTTGTAAGGACATCACATGTAGAAAGTAAATTTAATGATTTATAGCATTTTGTTTAATAAAGTTGGTGCTTCAAGTGTTTAACAATGAATAATTTAATTTACCAGAAATATTAATTACAGCAAAATTAAGCACAGTTCTAAAAATATTGTTGGTTTTTGCAGTCGCACCTCTTCAATGAATACTAACGATAGTCATGGGAAATAATTACGAAACGACATTTACAACTGAAAATGGTATGTCCTTTTATGAGTAGATTTTAATCAGTTAAATTGCCATTTACTAATATAGTGTGAATTATGCTGATATAAATAACAATGCTGAACTTAGAACTTTTGGCAGTGTTATATAAAATTTTGAGCTGTTAAGTTGAAAATGGAAAGTGAAAATAGCAAAAAATGAAATAAAAAGTTCTGGGCTAGAATAGATTGTCATGACATCAAAGGATAAACATAAATTGACCATCATTACAGATGGTCAAAAACGAAGACCTTCTCTTCTGTCTGTGAACAGCGATGCTGATTCAGATAAAGAAATTAGGAAGAAGATCCAACATGGGACAAGATTGACTGGTGTTTAGCAGTGAATTTTCATAAGAACATTAATAAATTTACTGTTATTTCTTATTACAGCGGCATGGAGCATGTTTGCAGATTTCTGCAACAATAGCACAGTTCATGGAGTTAAATATCTTGGAGAAAAGCGAAGACATTGGAGCGAAAGAGCTTTTTGGGTAATGGCTTTCATAATATCAGTGACTGGATGTACGATTATGATAGTCAAGATTTATGATAAATGGCAGAATACACCTGTAATTGTAAGCTTCGCAGAAAAATCCACTCCCGTTTGGCAAATTCCGTTTCCAGCAGTAACAATTTGTCCTGAAACTAAAGCTATGAAGAAGCATATAGACATGACCAAAGGCTATATTCATACCAGATTTGGTTTGAGGGATAATTTAACAGACGAAGAGGCTAGAAATCTTGAAGCTATCTCTCAAGTGTGCGACTTGCATTTGTTTAGTGAAAAGTCTATGGAAATTAATAGTGGACTTGAACCAGAGGAGATTGTTCCTTTGCTTAAATCAATTACAGTCTCTCTTAACGAAACGACCCTATTTTGTAGATGGAGAAATGCTATTGATTCTTGTGAAAAGTTTTTCACGGAGATTATTACAGAAGAAGGATTTTGTTACACATTTAATGTTCTTGATTCATCAGAACTGTTTAAGGAAGATACGTAAGCAAAAATATTTAATCGAGCTGATCAAAAAATTGAGAAATTTGTTTTGCAGCCTAGCTGACGATTTCGAGTATATAAAACATAACAAATCATCTACAAATTGGACATTGGAAAAAGGTTATGAAACTGCTGATCCTGATACATTTCCTTACCGTGTTTTAGGTCCTGGAGCGCGAGCAGGATTAAATATTGTTTTGAAGTTAACTGATATTGATCTAGATTACATGTGTAGAGGTGAGATTATATAAAATTAATAATTAATTTACAGTATGTTCACTTATTGAAATTTTCAGGACCTGTACAAGGATTCAAGATTCTTTTACATACGCCTGGAGAGATTCCGAGAGTATCAAAGCAATATTTCAGAGTTCCATTAAATCAAGAAGTTGTTGTGTCTGTAAAACCGAATATGATTACGACTTCAGAGGGGCTTGTTGGATATGCTCCCAACAGACGACAGTGCTATTTTAATGACGAACGACAGTTGAAGTTTTTCAAAGTTTATACTCAATCTAATTGCGAGTTAGAATGTTTGGCTAATTTTACTTTGGGTATGTTAATTATTGTCCTGTGGGAAATGCATGCATAAAAATTATAACTCTTTAGGTCATTGTGGATGTGTAAAATTTTCAATGCCAAGAGACACGATGACAAAAATATGTTCACAAAAGGACATCACGTGCTATGATTCAGCAGAAGATTTGCTAATGATGGAGGAGCTAAATCAATCACTGGAAACCAGAGGCAGTGAAAATAAGCATGGCAAGACTCTCTGCAATTGTTTGCCATCATGTACATCAATTAAGTATGACTGTGATTTTTTCTCAAAACATATTCAATAATTTCGGTTTTCAGCTATGATGCAGAAATATCTCAAGCTGATTATGAGTATGTTAAGGTATTTAGTGCACACGGAGGAGATTTAAATGAATTTCCAGGAGCTATTTTAGCTCGATTGACAATATTCTTTAAAGAAGCACAATTCATTACATCAAGAAGATCAGAATTGTATGGACTGACTGATTTTATGGCTAATGTTGGTGGCTTGTTAGGTAAGTCATAAATGAATATGTTATGATTAATCCTCCTAAAATGAATGATATTCTAGGTCTCTTTATGGGCGTTAGTATTTTATCACTGATTGAAATTTTATACTACATAACACTTCGACTCGCATGCCATTTGAACTATAGGCGACACAAAAAAATCAAAGCTCGTCGTAATAGTTCAGTTCCACCTATACTTTCTCCAAACATTGAGTTTATACCTGGAATAAAAGTTGAAAAATGCGGTATTGGTTCAAAAATTGATTAATGAATACTGAATCTTAATGTTGACGACAGTGGCATTTCTAAATGGATGATGGATCTGGATAAAAATTTTGATTTTGTAGTAATTTTCAGTTTTAAAATTCAATGTATAGTGAACGTGTGAACCAAAAACAATAATTGAAGAATATTCATATAATTCAAAAGTTTTGAGTAAACACTTGTGCATTGCAATAAAAGAATTATTGATGTCAGCAAGATAAAAATTCCTTTTTAATTATTTAATCTCATTCAGAAGAACCTTAAATTGATATCATGCTGTTGTTCAACAGCTTAAGACATGCTTAGTACTTATGTATGGCAATTAAACTTGATGTCTAGATACTGATAAAGATGTCGAGACTTGAGCTTTTATTTTAATCACATTTTAAAGTACTTGAATTTGATATGTTGGATAATGTCTTGAAAATGGCAATTATTTAGCAGTTTTGATTAGCAATTTTTTTGTACAAAGTATCTCGCCTGTTTATCGCTTTTATAATTTATAAGAATCTCCATTTACCAAATTTCTCTCTTTAGCCTAATAAGATCTTTAGCTTTAATAGGAATTTTAAACTATCTTTAAGACTTCATGATCATTAAAAGCTAAGAAAACAATTCCCATATGCAAATAACGTTATCTAATCTAATCATCTATGTAAACTAAAATGCTCTTTTAAATAAATAAACTATAGAATGTTTTTATGTTAAAATGATCATTTAATGTTGTTCAGAATCCACTTATTTGATGAATCAGTTTAAATTTGAATTTAAAAACAAATCAAACAGTGAATAATGAATAAATTTACAATCATTTTGTGGCAAGTCAACTGCACTATGTAAGTTACATAAACAGTAATAAACAGTGGATTAGGTAGAACTGGAATGAACTTGGTCAGTTATAGAATGATAAGCTTATCCAACAAGTTAAAAACGAAAATGATATAGAGCCGTCAAAGGATTATCATGAATTGAATGATAAGTTTGTGATAAGAATTATTATTATTGCACCAATTAAAGATAATGAAAAAGTATTAAAAAGAATTTGTGGACTTAAATTTATTTAGTCTTTCTTCAAGTTTTTTTTAAGGAAGTGAAAAATGTGGAAAATACAAGGCATTTGCCTACTTATTTTAATAGCAAGCTCTCTAGTCTCATCGAGTATTCCACCAAGAGAAACTCGAGAAGATTTCAAGCCATTAAGTAATCGGATTACTCCGAAAAAGTTATCAGATGAAAAAAGTACAATTAATTATCGTCTTCCAAATAATACACGTCCATTGCATTATGATATTCATTTGACTACACATGTTCACGAAAGTAAATTTGAATTTGAGGGTCACGTGATTGTAAAATTTGAGCTAAAGTCAGCTCCATTGAATGAAATTACACTTCACATGAAGAAAATAAATAACTTAATAGTGAAATTATTGGATAGCAATAAAAATTTACTTGCAAGTAACTTAGACTTTGATACTGATAATGTGACTGATTTTCTCACAATCAAGACACAAAGTTCCTTGACAATCGGACAAAATTACTATCTTGAGTTCGATTATGACAGTGAATTAAGAGATGATAATTTGGGATTTTACAAATCATCATATGTGAATGAACAAAATGAAATTGTATGGCTTGCCACTACTCAATTCGAAAGTGTAGAAGCTCGAAGTGCTTTTCCATGGTATAATAAGACATGAGTTTTTACCAATCTATCAAAAATAATTAAATGTAATGTCTTATATTTCAGTTGGGATGAGCCAAATATTCGAGCTCCTTTCAAAATCCAGATTACACATGGCGAAAACTATAAAGCTATTAGTAATATGCCAGAAAAGTTACCTACACCAAGTGGAATTCAAGGTTATGTAACTACAGAATTTGAAGAAAGTTTCAGCATTCAAACTTACTTAGTCGCATTTATTATCTCTGATTTTAAAAACAATCTTGACGATTCCAAGCCAATTAAACAAAGAGTTTTTGCAAAATCACAATCAATTGAAGCAGGTGATGGCGATGTTGGGTTAAAGTATGGTCAAGAGATCTTAACAAAACTTGCTGAATATTTGCAAGTTCCTTATTTCGATGGAAAGCTATCGAAAATGGATCAATTTGCTATGCCTGATTTTGATGCTGGTGCTGTAAGTGAATTTAAATTTATAAACGAAGCAGACTTTAATGTTAATTTATCAAATTTTATAGATGGAGAATTTTGGATTGGTGACCTACCGCGAAGAATATCTATTGCACAATAAATCGGTTGATACAACGAAGCAGAAAGAAAATGTTTTGACTATAGTTTCTCACGAATTTGCTGTAAGTATATAATCATAACTTTATAGCTTTATACTTCTTATTTATCTTATCTTTTTTCAAATAAACAGCATATGTATTTCGGTAAGTTAAGCATTTAATGAAATGTGAAATGTAATAAAAAGTAATGTAAGCTAATTCATTTATTATTAAGGTGATTTGGTTTGCCCGCAATGGTGGAACTATTTATGGTTAAATGAAGGTAATAATATCATCGTTAAGATAGTCTCGTTACTTTTATTACTGTCAATTAATTTCTAAAGGTTTTGCCACTTTGTACGAGTTTTATTTGGTCAGTTTGGTCTATGAATCAGATCGTCTTATGGACTCATTTCTTTTGAATGTCGTACATCCTGTACTTGAAGTTGACGGAAATCCACAACGTCCCATGTCTTATTATGTTGAAGAACCTGATGATATTGACGATCTTTTCGATTGGATTGCTTATGAAAAAGGTAAATCTAATGCGTAACAAAAAATATAACTACTTGAGATAATTCAGAAAATAATTTTTAAGCTGGAAGTGTTTTGCGTATGATGCAAAATGCAATTGGAGATAATACATGGCGTAAAGGATTGAAGTACTACTTGACAGAGAGGATTTTCAATGACGCAACTCCAAGTGACCTTCACGCGAATTTGCAAAAAGCAGTGAATGAAGATGGTTTGGAAGCACCTGATATTGACAAAGCCATGCTTTTATGGGAAAATCAAGCAGGCTACCCACTTATTACCGTTAGTTTAAGTGAAGAAAATTTGACATTTACACAAGAGAGGTTTTTGTATGATCTTCCTGAAACTGCGTCTGAAGGTTTGTGGTATGTTCCAATTAACTACATTTCAGCTTCAGACTCTGAAATTACAACAACAAAAGCTGACTTGTGGATGAATGAACAGAAAAAAACACTTTTAAGAAAAAGTGCTCCAAAAAATTGGAATAAAGACGATTGGATTATTGTAAATCTACAACAAGGTTATTATTACCGTGTTAATTATGATAATAAATTGTGGATGTCTCTCACAGAGCAGCTTAACAGTTGTCATGATAAAATTGATTTGAGAAATCGGGGGCAGTTAATTGACGACTCGTTTAATTTGGCACGTGCCGGTATCGTCCAATATGACATTCCATTTGGAATAATTAAGTATTTGAAAAATGAAATCGATTATGTACCTTGGCAATCGGTAAGTTTGTAAATATTTAGTTCAATATATTAAAAATCTATTATGTATTCAATGATTTATAGGCATACGGTAGTATACTTTTATTAAATCGATTGTTAAGTGGATTGAATGTGCACACAAAATATCAAAAGTTTATAAGAAATCTTGTCGAACCATTTTATACGAGAATTGGAAATGAAGTTGTTGAAAATGAACATAAATTCAAACGGTATTCACGAACAATAGCTTACAATCTAGCATGTCGCTTTGAACATGAATCGTGTTTACAAGAAACAAAGTCAAAGGTTGAGGAAGAATCATTACATCCTGATTTACAGGAAGCAATCTACTCAAATGGACTAAGGAATGTTGATAAAAAAGTTTATGAGGATGTTATTGCTAAGATGCTTAATTCCAAGTACCAAGCTGAAAGAACTTTACTCATTAGAGCCTTAGCTTCAACTCAAAATGAAGAGCTTTTGCCATTACTTTTGGAATTAGGAGTATCAAATGAGCCAAAATTGCGACTTCAAGAAAAGTACAGAATCTTCAGTGCAATTCCAAATGGAGGAGCAGTAGGAGCAAAAGTAGCTATGAAGTTCGTAGAAGAAAACTACAAAAAGCTTAATAATATTTCATCATCACTGACAAGTTCAATCTTAAACAACATCGCCCCATTAATTTCTTCCGAGGAACCAATCAAGCAATTCAATCAACTCCTTGACATTTTAGTAACTGAGAAAGTTATTTCCGAAAGCCGCAAAGAGTCTTTTTTGAAAATAGTAAATTCAACCAAAGAATGGCAAGACAAACATGTTAAAAATATCGAGGAATGGCTTGATCTTAATGGATCAACCGTTAATTTTATATCAGCAGTTGTTTTGACATTTTCGTTTGTTATAAAATTACTTTTGTAAACTGAAAATATTCTTTAAATAAATCAACTCACGTGAATGATTTTTATTGCCTCAAAAATGTATTGTGAATGCACGTTCTTTTATCATATTCATGACTAGCTAGTCATGTGCTGGTTTCGCCTTTAAATTTAGACCTTACCTTGGAAAAATTCTATTAATCATGCTTTACTTGATTCCATCAAAAATTCTTTATCATTTCACTAAGATTCAAATTCTTTCTCCCTACAATTTAAGACGTCTACGTAATGTTTTATGATGATGCAAAATATTCTTTTGTATTATGATGTTAGGTCTTTATTTTATAGCAAATGATAACATAAGAAATTTTTAAAAAATAAATTAATTTTGGAGGATTGGTCGAGGAGGAAAACAATCAAATTATTTGAGGATGATGGTTTTTGAACTATAAATTCTTCTCTTACAGTGTGTTGCTGATGTATAAAGTGTATGCTGTAGTTTATCCGAACAACTTCTTTTTCTTCAGGAGGAGGAGTTTCTTGAACAACAATTTCTTGTGAATTTCGCTGTCATCGGTTGGGTTGAAGTTGTCAACACTGTTGCTGATGATTGATTCATCAGCTGGGAGGGCTGAGATGAATACAAAGGCGCAGACAACGACCAAAAAAGCCTGTAAGTTAAAGAAAAATTAATAAAATTTGGATTACCTTAATTTATTGTAAGTTATCGATTTAGATTTGAATGGAACCACAAAAATTATATCGATTTAAATTATCATATTGAATGACACTTGTTTATTGTAGACAAGTTTCTTATAATTTTAATGTTTGCACATTGTTCTGCTTATTGATTTATATTTCCTTGATTTTATGATGAATTGAAACTATTTGGAACACAATCAAGACTTTAGAAATACTTCAAAGCTTAAAAAATTTCCTTTGATGAATGAACAGTAAAACTTTTGTGTTAAATCTTTAGTTTTCAATCACTAATAATGCACTTACAACAACGATTAATTTCATTTTGATAATTTGTGTTATCCCAATGGCGATTAGATATGAAGACGAGTTGATTAAAACTGATGATGAGGGAATAGTTCGCTTAAGCTTTTATAGTCTAAAGTCAAAAATTCAGGAGAAGATTCATTAATGTAGTTACACAAAAGCATTCATCTTTCTCAGCTGATATAAATCAGGGAAGTTGAATAAAATTTCTTATTCACGTGAGAAAAGTTTTCGTTGTATTTTAAAGCTGCACGCAGATACACTCAAAATCTCGTTCTGATACTTTGACGACCTCGAAGACCATCATTACCTACTGATATTGAATTAAACTTTTTAACTGAATTGTATATGTCTTAATTCATCTTAGCATCAATTTTGAACCAATAAAAGAGCGGAATGCTTTATGTATTTTGCATCAATACAAAGCTTACCTACCCATTTTATTCAACCATAAAGAATTTGCCTATTGCGTTACGATTTCTTTCGAGTCGACTCAAGAGATTGACTTTGAAAACAAAAGTCAAATATTTGGCTTGTTAATGAGTTGTAAAGGTATTACTCAACTATCGTATTTTATCTTTATTGGTGACAAATGACTGTTTCTTCTGTTAAAAGCAAAAGCGAAAGGATTCTGTAGTTCCGTGATTCTTAAAGTGCTTTTTTTGGGTCATAAAAAATCAAGCAAAAGATTAAATCGAAAACACATGAAAGAAGATCTGTTTATTAACATCAGTTCCTAAACAGCAGAAGAAAATTAGCATTTACATATGTATCATTAAAGCCTTAACTTAATCATGTGTAGGTTAAAAATGTGATTGTTAAAGTCAAATATTAAACTTGGATAAATAAAGAATAAAAGATTTAAGTTTCAAGATACATTCTTAGACCTCTTTAAGAATTTAAAACTCCATTCTTTTTCTTAGAACTTTCTAGATACTGCTAGAGCATTTTAATTAGCACTTATATACTAGTTTGAAAAATTTGGATTGGCGATACTAAAATATAGCAAAACGAGCAGATTAACATAGTGAATGTTCCTAAATTAAAGCTAATTTCTGAATTTTTAAAATTGTCTTAATAAAGTAAATAAAAATTCAAATTTTTCTTGTCGATTCCATTTTATTTCAGTAAGATTAAAGTGTCAAAAAAGTTTAAATGTCTTTTAATTAATAATTGGGAAATCCTCAAAATAAACATTCTCAAACATTTATCAAGTTTTGCATAAATTTCAAAAACAAAGTCAATAAAATTTTACAACCATTAAGATTCCATAAAACAGCCATAAAATTGAATGGATAGTATTAAAATTTGCAATACATATATGCTTATTTTTTACTAACAGAAGCCAACTGAACTCTACCCTATTTACGACTAAGGTCGAAGACTCGAGTTTTTTTTATAAAAATAAGATGTCTGAAGTAATGTCTTCTTCTCTCTTTTATAGTTCAAATACTCAACTCAATGACTCAATCATCTTTCTAATCACGAGACCTCAAAATCCTCCACAAGTTGACGCCCAATCGGATCGTAAAAAAGTAAATAAATTCCACAATTGAGAGCATTGAAATGCCAGCAAAAAGTCCGAAGAGTCCACCGACATACGAAACAACATCCGAGAACGTAAATTGTTGATATCGGCGGTACAGCACAATGTCATCCATGTTCATTCTCACGTTTATTATAGCTTCATTGCCATTTCTTTGCCTATCAGAATAAAAATATTAATAGCTTTATGCTCTGTTTCTCCCCAGTCATGAAGAAAATCACGAGGGAAGTTACACTTAACATCTAATTCATTACCATTCAAAATTCTTTTGTATCTCGTGCTTCTCGTGCGTTGTTTGATAATTGATATTGTAGTTAATTGAGTTACAAAGAGGTAAACAGGCACAAGCATCTTCATGTTGTTGATCTCCTGACAAATAAATAGCACTATGAAGCGCAATGATACAATTTTTGTGTGAATTATCATTTGAACTAGAAATGTTTAAACAGACATCTTCAGTATCAATGTATGGTTGGTCAACGTGAACGCAGCCACATTCTTTGAGAGTTATGTAAGTAATGCACTCAACTTCGCAGTTCTTTTGTGAATATGTGTTGAAGAAATAGAGTTCTTTTTCACCCTTAAAGTAGCATCCACGTTCTGTTGCACTTAACTTCCTTAAGTTTTCATCAGTTCTTGTGATTTCAGTTGTTACAATCACATCCAAAATTGATCCATATTCAAACGTAATAAAGTCTTTTCTGATGCTAAATGTTGGGAGATAATCTGGCTGATGGACCATAATTGACTGCTTAATACAGTTTGCGTAGTTCCCTATAGGCTTTGTTATTTTTGCAGTAAACACCACTCGATCAGACTTTTTAAATTTTAATGGATATTTTATAGAATCTGGAAATTTTTTCAAATTTTTGGGCTCTGTTGTGACATCTCTTGTGTAGTTGAAATCTGAATTGATGCTAAAAATTTGTAAATGTTATGTTTCTTAAAGATGAGGTATTAGGAGTTTTCACTATAAAAGGCTGGGACAAAAGGGTTGCTAGCTATGCTTTAAGAATTTAATCGGTTATATTAATACACTTACTGTTCAAAGTTTAGCAATTCATAATCATCAATCATATTAAATGTAAATCCTGTTCCTCTGGATGTTTTAATTTCAGCAAATTCTGGCTGATACTTTTTATTAAATGATGTAAATTGTTGCATAAACCAAGAGATTTGTGAGTTTGAAAATACTGTATCATAAACATATGGCACGAAGCTAAAATTGAATCCTTTCCAATATGCATTATAATATTCAATACAGAAAAAACGCTGAGAAACTAGTCTAAAAAATATAAATCAGTAAGTTTTGATTATTTTCATCAGAGTTGCGAAACAGGTCACCTGTGACAGGTGAGAACCTTTCAATTCCTTGATAATTTGTATGGTTTTGTTAGAAAAACCTTATAAATTATCAAGGAATTGTAGGGTTCTCACCTGTCACAGGTGCCTGTTTCGCAGCTCTGATTTTCATTAAAAGAGCTTCTACCTTAAGTTTCAAATTATTTAAGATTAAATATTCCAAAAAATACCTTCTTAATTCTTCTTCTGGATAATCTTCCGGAAATGCATATTTTCTTGAATCATTATAACTCATTATTATGAAAGGGTCCACATAACTTCGAATGTAGGAAAAATGGGGGACAATTGTGATAGCTGGAAATGGAATCTGCAAATTTATTTTATTAAATCTTGATGATCAAGTAATTAAATCGAAATGATCTCACGTCGTCGAAGGGCTTAAAACTGTCATCATAAGCAATAATTCTGCTGTCAGGCACGCTATCTTTTGTACTTAAAACCAGGTGAAAACAGAATGAAATTGATGTCAGAATTAGGATAATCCATATGAATCTAAAAATAATAAAATATACAAGCGTCTTTTTAGAAACAGTGCCTGGTCAGCCATTGTTTACCCATTAATCCATGAAAACTCAATAATATAGCCTAGTCCATGAACTGATGATTCTGCAAAGTATGATAGCAAAATTTCTTTGAGTTCCATTAGTCTAGAGTCATTGCTGTGGTTTTCTATTGCTGGATGAATTTTTGTGTCTTGTCGTCTATAATTTGCTATCAAAACTCGAATCGTGAACCAATAGATAAGCTCAATAAACGAAAGTGCTGAAAATCCAACAAAAAGACCCAGAATTCCTCCAACAAATGACAATACATCCAAAATTGTGAATTGCTTTTTTCGAATATGTTCCTTAATTTCATTAGATTTATATTGAAGTCGAAAGCCTACAGTTGATCCAGTTACAGCGGATTGTGCGCTTAAAAAAATTGGAATTAATCACAGTTTCTGAGGTAAGGCAAAAGATAATGGTAAGTCCAAAAGATTCGACTGACTTACTCCGTAAATCCAGCTGTAACTATTTCAAATCCATAATTGACATGTTCACATGGTTCAAAGCATTCACAGAAGCCTTTGTGCTTTTTAAAGTCCTCTTCAGCTTGTTTAGAACAGTTTTGTTCATTTGCTGAACATATTTTAGTCGATGAATTGCGGATCATAAAGAATTCAACGCAGCCACAATGACTGTACATGAAATCAGTCAGGCATTCATTCTCACAGTTGTTTTTTGTGTATACTTTAAACCATTTGAGGATTTTTTCTTTTTCTAGGTAGCAATTGCGTCTGGAAAGTGACAAATTTATTGATTAAAAAATGCTACTACAACGGTAACCGGTGTAAAGACACACCACGTGAGGAACATATTGCACATAGCAAAGACTCTAAAAACTTACTCAGCAGGTTCATATTCCATCAAAGACTCATCAGTTGTGCTAATTGATGGATCAATCAAAATCATTGTTTGAATCTGTTTGTTAAACTTTATAATTTTTGAATTTTTCGTTGGCAACTCATAGGGATTGTGGAAAGAAACCACATAGCCATCAAAGTCATTTTCAAGAAATTTATAGCTTGTAAAAAAAGAATATTTAAATCCAACCCACAAACCGGCTTTTGAAGTTGATAATTTATAAGGAAAATCTGTTGGTGGAGCATCAAAATCAAAATTGCCAAACATTTTGTTACTATACACATAATGAAAGTCCTCAGATGTTGCGTTAACGTCCAATAAGTCATTACTGAATGCAATATTATATGTAAAGCATAAGCCCCAAGGCGTGATAATTTCAGAAATATATTCCTGACTTTTACGGGCTAAATTAATTACAATTGCGTAGGAATCTGCAGTAAACTCCTTAGGATATTCATTAATGTCATTTAGAAAATCATCTGCTGATACTGAGATATTGAGTTTCAAGAACACACCACGATCTGTAATCATATCGAGTACTTGGAGGACTTTTAGACTATAAAAAAGTGTAAAGAGTCAAGAAATTTATCGGACTAGTTCTTTTAAATTTTTTTTTTATAAATATGTTACATTTTGATACACAAATGTTTCGGATCAATGCTTTCATTTTCAATTCTGTTTAAAAATTCTACATAACTGATGTTACCAAATTTTTCTTCATCCGCAAACTCTAATTTAGATTCTTTATATTCATATTTGATTCTTTTTAATGTGTGCTTTTCATAACGATAGCGTGGTCTTATTTTCCATTCCATACGATCATCAAGAATTATGCGTGGACAAACTGTGACTGCTGGAAAATGTATCTGTAATGTTTAAAAAGAATTATTGTCTTAATGTTGAGACAATTTGATAAAGTTAAGGCCTAGTATATTTCATACTCTTTTTCAAACTCACTTCAGATACAGAAACCGACTGATCCGATATATATGTGACAATCGGAAAGTTCCACAATTTTACGAATAACTCAATTATTAAAATTGATGTGCAAATGACAGATGTAATGATTGTAATGATCCAGAAAATTCTATAGAAAATTGGAAGCATTCTCATTTTATTTCGGGGTATTATTATTTAATGTGTCCATCAAGTAGAACGGTGACCTAATGAGTTGAGTGATGTACTATATATGGGTTTTTTGTGCTATTTTGTGAAAGCAGAAAAACAACCTCTTTGAATTTTGTGAAGATTCCAGGTCCGAGATATGAGCATTTGAAAACGGAACTAGGTCCGATTTTTCACATTCTTACTTTTTCAACTTTATCTCAAGCAAGACTAAACGAAAATTGTTGAAACTTTGCCTGTTTTATGTGCAATTGACCTTTAATCAAATAAATTTAACAAAAATATTTTAGGTTCCATAGCTTTAAAGATATGGCAATTTTACGATTCAACCTAAGGCAAAATTAGCTACTATTTTACATTTTTGACTGTAAATCGTATAAGTTTTGATAAAGAGTGTTTAAACTTGGCCAGTAATTTGTGCAATTGACCCTTAATCAAATAAACTTCACAAAAATATTTTAGGTTCCATAGCTGTAAAGATATGGCAATTGTACGATTCAACCTAGTACAAAATTAGCTAATACAAGCATAGTAGAATCGCCATATCTTTACAACTATGGAACCTAAAATATTTTTGTTAAGTTTATTTAATTAAGGGTCAATTGCACATAAAACAGGCAAAGTTTCAACAATTTTCGTTTAGTCTTGCTTGAGATAAAGTTGAAAAAGTAAGAATGTGAAAAATCGGACCTAGTTCCGTTTTCAAATGCTCATATCTCGGACCTGGAATCTTCACAAAATTCAAAGAGGTTGTATTTCTGCTTTCACAAAATAGCACAAAAAACCCATATATAGTACATCACTCAACTCATTAGGTCACCGTTCTACTTGATGGACACTTATTTAATAATTACCTCTCAATTATGTGATGTCGCTTAGTAATGTAGACAAGTCCATGAATTGTCGAAATTTTAAAAATATTTCTGTACTTCAAGCTTCATTTTATTCTAAAGTTTTTTTTTTGTTTTGTGTAAAGTGAAGGCTTATGAGAATTTTTGAATACTAAAATTATCAATTTTCATTTCATGCTCATTTATTGCATGTAAATTGTGACACGGAACTCTGTGATCAACATTATGTAGATAGCTGATCAAAAAGATAGAAATGTGACACGCATAGAGACCTAGAAATAAAAAAAAACCAAAAATTTGCTTAGAGGCTATTTATGGTTCATTTATGACGTCCCATGAGGGGGGGGGGGGGGGTGGGGGGTTCAGCAAGAAAAGAATAATAGAAATTCCTGGAAATCTATTGTTCTTCTTTTTTTAAAAACTGACCGTTAATTTCGGACGTCATAAGTGAACGACCCCTTAGTTTTTCCGTCTAGGTATATAAAGATCAAACGACAAAGCTCCATCGTAAAAATTTTTGATTACGCTCCAACTTGGAAAGATTATTTCTTCAATGAACTTTTGGCAATTTCTATTATTTATTGATTTTAAGCTGAAACATGTGAATGCTTGCATGCATTTCCCTCACATCAATGGATAAATTAATTAGTAAGTCAACAAAATATTCAAACCATAATTTTCGCACATTTTTCTCATAAAAAATAATTAAAAATTATTCTTCAAAATTTGCACGATTTACATAATGAGAAAGCTTCAATCAAAATGCCTGCAAAGAAAAAAATATTTTATTGAGACAAAATCAGAAAAATGAAAAGCTTTAGCAAATCTACATTTAAAAACGTACTTAAAGTTGTCTTTTATTAAAGATAAAAGTTAAAATGTACATTCGTAATAATTATGAAAGAAAAGAAATTTTTGTCGGCTCGAATCAAATAAAAATTATAATGAAATGAATGTTACGTGAGGAGCTTAACATGCGTGCTGTTGTTTTATTTTACACATCGATACTTGGCACATGTATCAATACATACGATGGTCTATCTCGTCAGTTTTATTTGTGTCATCAAATTTTGTGTGAAGGAAAAGAAGAAGTAGAATTGGAGAAAAGCAAATATTACCAATTAGGAGAATCCAAATGAAGCAAATTTGGTAAAAGAAGAAAAATTCTGAACACGAGTTTCAAAAGAGTCTTGCTGAGACACCAGCTTAATAAAGTAGAGGTAAATATGTAAATATTACAATAAAGCCTTGGAATAACGACGATTTTTTTTTTATTTGACTTAAACTATTTAAAGACTGCTCATCCAAACCTATTTATCTAATTAATATGAGACTTACATCAGCCTGTTTGAATTTTAATTGATTTTTATTTAGTCATTAAATTTACTCATCGATATAAGAATATTGGTGTAGATTTACACAAGCCACTCCATGTGAATGATCATAAAAAATTTATATCCGATGCGTGAAAACCAAAATGGGATTGCGAACTTTTTTTTTAACCCAAAAAGATTTTCTTGAACTTCTTAAGTTTGAAGAATTGTTGAATATCTTCCGGGTTGAAGTTATCGGAATTACTCAAATCACCAACTATGGTTTCATCTTGTGGTAATGCTGAGATGACAATGGCAAAGGCAACAATCAATGTCACAAAAATCTAAATACGGATGACAAATAAAAATCAAATCAAATTTATAAAAGTGTGAATGACTGATTAGATAGCAATAGATTGTTTCCACATGTAGGTTGAGCGTGATGACAATGACATTGATTCATATATCAGTGAGACTGCTCAGTGCTTATAGAAATTTCTCGTTCACGAGATAAAACTACATGTGAGTAAGGAATATGAA